AACTCTCATGGGGACTGTTGGCTAGACCATGCAGGCACGTGCGAATGAAGGAGAGGCTCTGTGGGTAGTGGAAAGGCAGCAGCTGGAGGTCCAGATAGGCGATTTTCGTGCGCCACATTGATTTTACTGGTAGAAAGGGCTGAGAAGAATGGTTGATGTTCATCTGACGGAGCATGTTGGAGCCAAAATTAATTGTAAAACTCGTAGATTGTGAGTTGAGGATAAAAATATAGAGCTGCAGTTTCACTAGAACCTGCCGAAAAGCGCTAGTGGTGTGAAAACGTCCTTTGTTCCAGACTGTCCAATCCGGTGTTTTGGGCAATGCATAGAGAGTTAAACTGAGTCATTTTCGACACCATATGACGAGTACGGTTTTCTTCGAGTAATAAGAACAGGAATAAACTGTTCCCTGGTACAGTGCACAAACCGGTGTACGGGAGGATACCACAGAAATTCGTACTGGAGATAGAGAAGCAAGCTTGGAACATTCTGAAAAAGGGATTATTCCAGGGAAGCATTACGCCGTATTTCTCGCTAGTGTTAATAACGCAGCGATATGTTGATACGTATCGATTCTGTGTTGACTTGCGCAAACCCAATAGTCTCACAATTAAGGACGCGGTTCCAATGCCACTGACCGAAGAGATATTTGGGCATATCCATGGCGCGGAAGTTTTGTCGTTAAGTTACTTGAAGTGGGGCCACTGGCAGCTCTTGGTGCTCGCGAAAGCAGAAAACAGCATTTTGTGTGAATGGGTAAGTAGTATGAGTTCCTACGGATGCCTTTTGTAGTGTAATGCACCGGCTACCTTCAGGCGTTTGCTGCTGTGGGTACTGGAAAACCTAGACATTCTTGTGGTTTATAGGGATATTGTGGTATTTTCAAAGACAATTAAGGAGCACGTGTCCAGACTAAGCGCAGTCCTGAAAGGGGTCAACGGCGGGTTTGAAATTGAGCTCAAAGAAGTGCCAGATGACGCGTAAAAAATAATTTAATTGAGACACTTTTGAAGGTGGAAACCTGCAACCCGCACCCAGAGATCTCTTCCTGGCGTGATAGATTACTACGCGAAGTAAGTGCCAAGCTTCGCCAGATAGCTGGTGGCCTGTTTCACATGCTGAGGAAGTATAAGAAGTTCGAGTGGAAGTCAGATACGGATGCAGCGTTCATAAACTCAGGGGAAGTGCAACAAACCCTTGAAGCTCTTTAGCTTTTGAAGTACAGGTGCTGTAGCCTATCTTTTCGTCCTTGGTACAGTGGCCTAACATTCACCTCATTTGGAACTACCGTTAGATTGGTTAGTAACAAATTTCTGAAGTGAAAAATGGAACTTGACCATATTTTCAGATAAACCACTCCTTTGTCATAAAAGTCTTGTGGGGCGATTCTCCAAAAAGTTTGTCATCAAAGGGCACGCAATGGATGAAATCGTCAATCAAGTCACATTAAACTTCGGGTGGCTGGGTTATCGACTGATTCAACGTTTGTTTGCATCCAACTTTCACGATGGAATCACTCAATAAATCTGGATGAACAGACATTCAAATTGTTCTTACTATTTGGATTTCCCATGAGAAAGTCCGATTCGAATTTGATATTTGGTTGTTCGTTTTCCAGCAGTGAAAATTAGCTTTCCAGGAGCTACCACCCGAAGAAATATTCGGAGGACCAGGTGACACCATGATCCATCGGTTTTCACACTACCGAACAATCCGAACACAGACAGTTACCCCGCTCTCAAACTTCGTTTACTATATCATGTGGTACTGTCAAACTTTCACAGCATTTTTAAAAAGTACAATGCATGAGGCATCGGCGAACTCTGTATAAGACTGAATGCAACTTTTATCTGACCGAGAGAAAAACCGACATTTAAGCTTCTGGCTTTCTTGCCAACGATGCCCTGCTCTATGGGAAATTCATCATGATTTCCCCATAGCGGGAAACCATACAAAAAGTCACCGTAATTACTGTTCGGGTCATTCCCCGAAATCTGTGTTGGTATCTTTCCGAAAAAGCACCAGTGCTCAGAAAATCTTTGACTACCATCCGATGGGACGTGAACTTATAAGCAGTCCTCCTTAAAGCATCAAATGACTCAGCCACCGAGCTCTGCTTTGCGCAAGGCCAACTGCGCATTTCCATCACATCCTTCTTCCCTCTGAAAGACAATCGCTTGACCATTGTTACGTCAAATGCCACCGAATCACACCTCTGATTTCCGCGTGCTTTCGTCGCAAGTGTTATCTCATCAGTACATAGGACCATTTGGGCCCAATACGTTGAGACGTCACTGACTCACGGTAGCACTGAACGGGCGTTGAGCAAATGCCTGGCCGTGCGTCGGTAAACGACCAGATGAGACTGAAACAAGAGGGCGGATATGCTGTCGCTGACGCACCATTTTTAGCTTTTACGTCATCAAGGTAACATCTGGTTTGGATTTGCTGAAAAATGGGAATGTATTAGAAAATGCGACATTCCGTACGTGCGAAATGGCAGCAGATTGACCGTATTCTTCTCCTCTCGCTTCGATACCTTATGATGGTAATATTTTGGTATATTCGCATATGAATTCATATTTTCCGGGGTCAGAAACAGTTTCTTTGTCCTGAACAACTGACCATCGGAATATCGGACTGTGGTCTGTGCAAATAGTCGCTCCACATTTACGAACTGTGGCACTTCTACGTTTCCCCTATGGCGGTTGTTAAATTGTAAGTGACTTACTGTAATAATTTGTCAGTAGTCAGTCGCACACGCGAAAGTTATCCGAGTCAGCTGAGTTGCCATCATTTCTAGCTATCATGTGCCCGACTACAGCCTACTGCTGTCTAAACTCCTACAATATGAGCTAAGTGCTACCTGTTTTGTCCCGATCAAAAATCAGAGCAATGCACTCACAGATCTAACTCCGACGCTTCTCTTGATCTACACCCTTGCCACTTTATTCACCAGACATGCATATCTCCGCATCTTAGGTTTTCAGTTCCGTTCACACGTAGATTTTTATGCGATTATCTGAAGTAGCTCTGTTTATCGGCCTTGGTTGCATTTGAGAGATACTCATCTGTGTTGGAACCTCAGAGTTCCAAGTGGCAACTCGGATTCCGGTAACAGAACTGCATCATGCTTAGCTAGCTTGAACTTGGTCTCAAATATCCGTTGATTTGAACTTGTAGACGGTAATTTTATGGAAAATGCAGAATAACGAGAAACGCAAAACTACACAGAAACGGAATCGCTGTAATATCTTGGACATCGAAACTCATATTGGATATAAAGTCCAAACAGATGCAAAATATGTTGGGAAATTTTAGTTTTTTTGGCAAGTGGGTATTACACGACTTGAAATGAAAAAGCATAATCAGTTTATTTCCGAGATGAGGCTGTATTGAAGTAATGGGCTTATACTTGAACCTATCTTCAGGATTCAACCCTACAGTTATCACATCATATTAGTTCGCTGTTCGAAAATGAGCGAGCTTAAAAGCAAGGTATTTTTATTAGAGTCAGGATGAATGGTTCTGAGGAATCACATATTCAGTGTTGATCAGTGACACAGGCTACCCGAGTCAGATTTTTTTGTGATTTGCTGAAAACAAATTAAAACTCAAGGGGTGGGAATAAAACGTGATAATCACATAGCATTTCACAGGGCCTCGGGATAAACAAAATATAAAACAGGACTACACAGCAATCCGTTTATAATGCTACGCAACACAGAATTGATATTTTCTGAATTCATTCTATGATCTCCATCCCTGTTCGTCTTCATTGATAGGGTTGCTTTAGTAGGTAAAAATTGACAATCAATAAATAGTTACTTAGCATGCCACAAAATATATAACAGTAAATTACATACCGATTTGCTGTCCCCTAGTTGGATGTGATCTACTGGTTTGCGACAAACAGAACTTTAAAAAAGAAGCATTTCTAGAATATCGGTGGTCGAAATATGAGCAAACGGTTGTGATTTGCCAAAACAGCAGATGTTCGGCTTGTAAAAACATACGAGGAACGGGCACAAGTAGCCTCGTTATCTTGGTATTTACTCTTTTGCACTCCGGTTGATTTGTGAAACTATCATCTGCCTATCGAATAACCATCCCTCGGATTCGCGAAAACCAGCCTTGTGTTACCATTATGCTGTCAGCTACAAAAGCCCTGTAAAGTACACACTGCCACGAGTCAGTATTATCGTATCTTACAAGTAGGGATTTGATTCGTAAGTATTTTGGATTTCATCAAATCATATCCACCGTGTGCTTGCACCAACCGACTTCGCGATTAGTAATTCGTTGCTGAAAAGGGAGCTGAGAAAGTTAGATAACAGAATATTCGTCCAGATATGGAAATTGCACATCCAGTAGTTAAAATCTCAGTCGGACCAACCGATTTATTCAGTAACTATTTATTAAGCAGTATATAGATTGCAAGATGGACATTAGACAAACGATCACGGCTGTTTTTCTTGTCCAAAGTCAAGGGCTTAAATTTACGCACTATAGCGATATCCAATGCCAGTGGAACAAAGGAGATGAATCCGGGAGCTTTGGATTCGGGCACTCGGAATTCCATGTCCCACGACTGACCACCGTCGCTTTTAATCTACCAACTTGTTGCTTTGATGGCGTGAGCTAGATAAACTGATTACTTGACAAGGATGATTTGAGTATGACAAACCGTTGTTCACGATTGTTTTTTTCATATCGATCAACATGATCTTCTATCTAATTCCTTGTATGCAAACCGTAAATACACTGAAAACGAACTGATAAAAAAAAACAACTATTTTACGGAATTGCACGTTGAATAGTATTGTCTTTACGCAGCATCCATTGGCCAGCGACCCGTGGAATCTCTGATGGTACCCAAGAAGCATTGGTGCAGTAAGTGGTGTTGGTCACGTGTTTTCGTTCTTAGGTTACAAAACAATGAAGCTTCACGTACGCCGAAAAGATATAAAGCAAACAGTTGTCTTTGTGAGATTAAAAAAATGACGAACGTTTTACTTGTGTTAGCGATACTGTTGTCCACGACAAGACCTAATGATGCAGGTAAGTTCCAGAGACGTTTTATGGTTCTTGTGTAAACTGAAAATTCGTTACTTCGAAGTGAATTGGACTAGGTCTATTTACCAGAATATACATTGATTTTAGCAAGAAATAATTTTTCATGACTCATCCAGCTCCTGTTGATATGAATAGTTGGTTGTATTAGGAAGATTATCCTGATACCCCTTTTGGAGCAGTAGTAGATTATTGGATTTAAAAAAGAGTACAGTGGAGAAGGGCATACCGCTTAACCTCAAAGGCCTACAGCAACATGCGCACAAGGCGGTAATCATAATTCAAAGAATTTTAGTGGCAAACCACACAAAGCTTATGTAGTTCATAGGTGGTAATGAGTTGCGTGACAATGAATTACCTTCCATCACAAATACTCCAGACACTGCAGTGACTCCATAGTACTAATTAGGGTGGACGCAGCCATACACCATTTGCCCAATGTTTATTGTTCAACATATATGCTCATATTTCATCAGAATATAAGTAATCCTGAATATAAAGATGAATTTCAAATTACAGTTTGCCGTTCAGTTTGATAGTGGCATTACAGTGTTTCCGCAAAACAGCTTTCCTTTTACAGATTGTCTATGTATTGATAAATTTTAGTTTATCTATATGTGTTTGAATTTTGTACCTGTGTCCATTAGTCCGGTTCTTTCCTTGAGTGCCTCGTGTGTGTACGTGTGACTGCAGCTTTGTTACACGAATAAAGGGAATAGTTCTACTCGGTAGTCAAAGTTTTAATAAATACTTCATAATTTTCCCTTTCAAACTGCGCAGTCTTGATCAAAAAAGAGGTTACATGGAAAAATGTCACACTGATTTTCACCGAAAATATTCTCCAAAAACTAACTTCGGAAACAACAAGAACTTAGCGATATAATTAGTATCTGTTTTTGCTATCAGTATAAGTGTCTCTGATACTTTCTTTTGTCATTCCATTAAGAGCTCTTTGAATAGATTTTGGACTCCAAAACTTTTCTAGAGCTTTTTTGATGAAAAACTGCACAATATACTCCTAACCTAATTAAATAGAAATCCTCAAAAGCAGGTAGGTGGACTTATCATCCTTAAGTTGCGATTTAAAAATGAAAGGAATATTTCGAAGGAAAAACTGTTTTATGGATGTATAGATTTGTGACTAAAGTAGATAAACTGAAAGTTAGATGGCACTTCAGCAAAGTGATGGGACTCCGCTACGAACGTTTATTCGATCCTGCCTCGCGTCGGAGGTTGGTTTTCTACAAGATGTACCGTGTAACTTCAACTGCTGCACAACCAGATCCAACAAGCAATTCTCCCCTAGTCATATTATTGTGAGCATGGAAAAAATTCAATCTGATTGGGGTTCTGCGAGAATAACGAAAAAAAAATCAGATTATACCTCATGAAGAGCGTATTTTCTCAGGACAAGTGTTGACGATTAGTTTCAAACCAGGATAAACGTAACGGATGTTACCTTTTAAAAATTGTGACGTTTTTGTTTGTAGAGAAAATCTATGAGTAGCTCAAGACAAATTGACCTCTGTGTGGTAACAACAAAACTACTTTGTATTCAATAATGAAAGTTTTATGATGTTAGGATTTGACAGATTGTGCCCCACCCCGTCCTTCTTCTAAAACGTCTGTTTTTTCATTGCAATCTGCGCACGAACTACTACAATAGCAAGGCGAACGCAATGCAAGTAAAAGGGATGATTAGGAGCACAAATATGGCTGCGTACACCTGATTTATTCAAATCAGTAAAACACATTAAAACTGAACTCACGGCTTTTCAAAATGATGTTGTTGGTTTCTGTGCTATTTAAAAGGTTTTCCCGGTTATTTATTAATAGTAAAGCACATATCATCTAAAATTATCGTCATTGAGGAATGAGGATCCTGAATTTTAGAAGCAGAATCAAATATTCGAGGGGGGATTGCGGGTCTCGGTTCAAAGACCGTGAAATGGTTTTTGACGAAATGCAAGTACTTTGAAACTTTTGTTTTTGGAAAATCCGCTTGAATTCTTCGCATCGAAAAGTCGGACGCCGCGAGCCAGAATCGAACCGGCGACACTCCGCATACCGGGCAGATGCTCTACCAGCTGAGCTGTCGCGGTCCGAACTGTCCGGTGTGAATAACGCTAGTGAATAATCGATAGTGCTCGAACCACTATTCCAATGTTACCCAGTATCTTTCCCGGTTTTAATCGTTGGGCTAGCCTCGTCGAGCACTTCCCAGTGGGACGAACAACACACCGATGAAAGTGATCCATCGGACATTGAAATATATTCAGAGAATTTATTGTTGGCACGAGGAGACTAAATCTTATGTTTTTGGAAAATCCACTTGCATTCTTCACGTCGTCTGACTTTTCGATGTGAAGAATGCAAGTGGATTTTCCAGAAACAAGATTCAGGCTTCTCGTGCCAACAATACATTATCTGATTACTTCGAAACTGTCGAAAATAAAATCAATGCTTGCTTAAATGACCATGCCCCAAAATTCCTCAGATGGATTCTTCATATATTTTCGCGAGAACGAAGGTTCTCTATAGAAAAAGTCTATTATGAATTTCGAAGTTCAGTGGAACTCCCAATTTTTTTTAAAAAGAAGTTGTCACAAATGAGTTTTATAAATAGTTAGTTATTACAACTCGGACAACACTTTAAAATGAATTTTATGGATGGGAAATTGTTGTTCTCAGGCAAAAAATGTGAAATGGACGGGATAGAACCATTTTCCCTGTGACTGTACCTTTTGAGAACTCTTCATGCTCAACTTCGCTTTCTAGTCTGCCACAGTCAGTCTCATCGCTTTTTAACGAAGATTTTATGCAATTTCTCGATAGATGATGAGCGAATAAGCTCCGTTTTGCCATCTGAATTTTGTCCATGGGAATGTTTATATAGTGAATACTCATCAAATAATCATTGACAATGGAGCACCACTGAAAAACTATACTAGAATTATTGTGCTGGAAACAAAATACAGAACTTTATGCAAACAGATTTTTTCGACAACGACTCTTTGTATCTTGTTTATCTTTGGGTTTCCTTCAACATTTTGCTCTCAACAAGGTCTTCGTCAATAGCTCAGTTTATTGTGCGGAAATAAATAGACTTCGCAGAATAAGTACCCAGGGAAATTGGTTTTTCTGACTAAAATACGACAAATTCATATACATGACTGATCGCTTAGCTTAATTTTCATGTGAAGCCTCTGAAAAAGCTCGACTTAAAACGAACTGCTAAAGTTATCTTTGAGTACCATCATTCTGATTGGAAAATAACTGCGGGCTTACTCGGGGACGGCGACTTCTCAGTTCTGAAGTACCAACCATCCACCATTTTCCATGTATTGCATAAGCTTTGCGCTTTTTGTGCTGTCAAAAAGACAAAGTGAAGTACGTTGAAAAGCTGCTGCATTGTTTTCAGGTAAAAAGAGAATTTAGGCTCATTGGAAGTTTTCGACACACGCCCTAGTCAGATGTCAGTTAGCTGAAAACTTAATATTCTAAGACACAGTGGTACTCTGAGGCACGCAAGCATTCTAACAAAATAAAATTTACCAGTGGAAGCTGTACCTTTACTGAAAAAGGGTGACAAAAAGAAAGAAAATTACGGAAGAAAATTAGTGAACAATATAATTTTGAGTAGTTCACGAAATCTGAAAAAAAAAAATTACGTACTGACGCAGTTTACGCTGTTTAGTCGGTTGCAGCAAAAAAATTATCGGCGATTTCAGTTTGATTCAAGAATGTATGAATTCAAAGAGACTAAATGCTTTCAGTGTTATGAAAATTAAGTTCAGAGTGAGCAACACATGGGACCGAAGCTAATAATATAATGAATACACTGACGGAACCAGATTGAGTAGAGAAATCCTACTGGTACGTGAAAGCAACCTATTTGTTTGATCTTTTGTGATTTGGTGGAAAATGTCCAAATGTGTGAGAATGAGTGAGGTTTGTTCGTTCAGTCAAATATATGTTCTTTCATAACAAACTGTTGAGGCATTTTTTTTTAAAAAGTGGTTAAAGATAGGTGTGCGAGGCTCAGTGAGCAGGCGTAGGTGCACAGAGGGGCTGAAAATGAAATCGAATCAGATTACCAACTGAGTGACTGAGACCATGATATAACATGAAAAAGTGACCCTAATAGGTGTAGACTGGAAAATTTCGTTTTCATTGAACAGAAAAAAGTCAAGCCCCCCACAAAAAAAGATGAATTTTTACCTAGTGTACGACTCGCAAGAGAAACCAACAATCAGTCTGAAATGCGAAGAAGGGGACGTGAAGGCGAAAGACAGGCGGTGCTGATTTGCACTACCGAAAATGAGGAAAAATTGACAACGAGTATTCCCGAGTCACGGTCGACTGGCAAACGGAGAAAGATAGGAAGGAGGATATTACTGTGTGTAGAATTTCTTGGAGAAACTTCTGTGAAGTTTGAACCACTTGAGGCTGGAAAAACGGGCTTTGAACAATGTTGAGTAAAGGCCCTGATTGATCTCACATAAACACCTATCATTGTATTTTGTACAGGTGTCCGGATGATAAAGTAAAGGAAAACTCTGATAATGTTAGAACATAGAGAAAGCAATTTCAAAACCTTTTCCTGTGTTTTGGGATAGAAAATACGGAGGATTGAAGATGATGCAACGGGTTACAGATTGAGATACAAATCACAAGCCACTGTTTTATTAGGGCAAACGATAAAAGTTAAAACATTCAAACTTTAGTAAAGACTCTTCTAAAGAAACCATTCCGTCAAATTTTGCTAGATCGCGCAACTCATAAGTGACGGACGGGGAGAAGCTTCAGGGTGTTGTTGATCATGAATGGCAATATACTGATTGTTATCTAAAATTAACTAAAGTATAGTACGCGTTGAAATTTGAGGGGTTTATCGAAGTATATCATGACATTGGGATATAGAGAGTAGAAAGTGAACGAATAATAAAATTCAATCAAACTGCTCCCAATAAAATTTAAACTCTCGTATTCGTTACAGGGAAATCGGTCTGAGATTCCAATTAATTCGCAGCTTAGTGTATTAGGCAAAGTGAGAGGTTAAAACATTCGTGCAAAACCGGGAAAAAGAGTAGCACCCAACAAATTACCAGAGTGGGATTTGAAAGGCAGTCTTATGGGGCTCCTGAAGTATGAGAGTTGACTCCATTGTCATGTGCTATGGGCAGGAAAGTTCCATGATAAATAGAACGAAATGAATTGGAATGGCCAAGAAAACCTGAGTAACAGAAGAGACACTCTGATGGAGAACAGAAATAATGTAGTAAGCAGCGTGGTTAGCGACACCCCAGTTTGACAAGAGGGTTTTCATGCTAACTCTCGGGTCAGAATATTGTACTAAGTGAATTATACGGCGGCGAATTAAATTATTGAATACGTTTAGTGATGCACATTTTCAGGTTATCGGGTGGTACGTGTTAGAATCTCACAGATCTCTAACAGCTGGAAAACACACCGAAATCAATGCGTTGAACAAAACATTGTTTGGATGATTTCCGGTTTCGACGAGTGTGGAAAGATTATTCAAGGCGTGATGCCAGCCAGATTCTGCACTCTCTTCTCGGATCCAGTGATTTTTTAAAGTGAGAATAGGGTGGCCTATCTGGTCGAACATGACACGTCTCAATGGGGAAAAAGCATCATAACAAGGTGCTAGTAGCCAGTTAGGTATTCACATGGTAAGTTCCCATCTCGATAAGAAAAAATATAAGAAATATCGGAGCCTACACATGCACTGGTACTACCTGAAGTACCAGTAGTGAAAGCAAGCTCACATACAGTGTGCGACTGGTACACGGAGTTAGCCAAAGTGTTTCTTCAAAAACTATTTCAAGGACAAAGGAGTAACAGACATTGAGCAGTAGCTCTAACGGGGACACATGCGTACAAAAGGAGGCCTGGTTGGTTAACTAATAGTGAGTTCAAAAAAGTGTGTGGTAGCCAATGGGGTATTGCACAAAGACGGAGAACCAGTTACATTGAAAAGAAAAGCTAATTCTACTGAAGTGGCTTGGATTCGTGCGCAAAGACTGTTCAGTGGTAGGTATAAGGTAGCTGATAAGGCTTTTTATGAGCTGACTGTGACTATGAGTCGGATTATCTAGCAAACATGGTTATTTAAAGAAATGTCAAAACAATTTTGGAAAATGTTGCTTATAGCGAAAGGCAACGTAATTAACCTTCAATAGGATACCAAACAATGCAGAAGACAGCATAAATTTCTTCGTACAACCACCGACCCTAGGGAGTATTTTTTTATTTTTTCCGCGATTTTAGTTTGAATCGTTTCCTAAGTTCACTTGACACTATCTATTCCACTGTTTTACTCTGTGCCCCTTGCGAGCATGAATTCGCATGTTTTACGTACGCGATTTAGAAAATTAAAGGGAATCCTTGCACCTCTCAATTTATGTCTTCTATCTGTTTTGATGAACTGGATCAAGGGGACACAATGATTCATAATTTCAAATAGTTCAGCAAGTTTTTTCAAAACAGGACATTTCTTTTGGGCCACCGGTAATTTTATCGGCATTTTTGAGTCAGTACGATGATTTGGAGGAGCTCTCCATTCAGCATTTTGTACTCACCAGAGCCCAAGGACTTTCCAGAATAGAGTTTTTTGTAAGATTTCCCACTACGTTTAAAAACGGATGTAATTTTATCATCAAGGGACAGCAAACATATGGAATATGAGGAAGCCTTTTGTGGAATACTTCCAAACCTCAAAGTCACTTAGCTGAAACTTCATTTGAGATCTGAAGAATGGAACATGGTTTCTCGGCAATTACATTGTAGCCATAAACATAGCCCTTTGAGTAATGTTCACTAAATCAATGGGCGAAGTTATACTTTTTCGTTCAATTATGGTTTCATACTACTGGTTTCACAAGATTTCTATTCCACTGACTCCATCTAATTGACCATTTGCTTCGATCTTTCCCCATTTGAAAAATCACAGTGACGGAAGCACAATCTCAGACGACCGGAGCAGGTTAGTTTGACTACTCATCAGGAATATCCATAGTGCATACGCTCGTTAGAACGCTACGACTATTGACTCATTGAATGACCAATTGAGGAGGCCTGCCAAAAACTACTATTTGATTATCTCATTCTATTACTAGTAGGCATGCTTGCGAGCGAGCTGACTGTTAAAAGGAATGAATAAGCGGTTTTCTGCAATAATATAATTCAAGATAAGCAAGGCATTTGGTCGTTGGATTATCTGACTGGTAATAGGTTAATCTTAGAATCTTTTATAGACCTAAAGATAACTTTTTTGAACGAGGGTTTCACTACTTATCTATTCCGTGAAAGCAATTGAATGATTTTTCAGCTGTTGAGTGGATCTTTATTTTTTGTTTCGGTTGATTGTTGGACTGATTGTATGGTTCGTCGCTTGATTGATCACCGTATTCAGTGATATTGTTTGGCCTCGATGACCCAAATAATCACAAAATAGTTGCACCGAAAGTGTGGACTCATGGGACAAATCAATAACTGATCCCTTGATTTGGCCGTCTGTGTGACCGATTTCTGTTTATGTATTGGAAGGAAAGATTGAATATTCGATGCATTGTGTTACGGATGAATATCCGAATAAATGAAATGCTTCGTCTGTAAATGAATCACCTGTAGGCTGACGTACGATTCTCACTGAGAAACGTAGTGCAGCAGCACAAGAGAGGCTGCAGGAATAGACTGTGCATTCTACAACACGCATACAGCTGATATAAATGCGAAAAAAAACCGCGAACAAGCAGGTCAGCAACAGACAGAATCTCGTTTAGTATGATTGACGATATCATGCACGCGAATTACGATGGTGATATCCAATGAACCGAGAGAAATAGGCACCATCTTTGTCTCAGCTAGCTTTTAATTTGAAAATACGACCTTCCTCGAGGTTTCTGTGTTCTGCTGCGACATATCATCATTTGAAGGCTACCGCTTTCCTTTTTTAAGAAAACAGTCTACATAACCAGAACGTTGTCTTCGACATTTACGTCGCTGACCAGCGTTTTTGCCCAGATTACAGACAGTAATTATTACCCACGTCAAATCGGGCATTTGGGTCACCAGGTTCCCAGAGCTTCGGCGTCAATAGTAAATCTTTACATGGGCTGAAACACCCATTTTATCGGTAGCATAGAAACAAATTTGGGAATACTCTGGGTTCTCAGATATATATCCATTTGCGGAACCAGTGTTTATATGAGCCGGAATAAATTTCTCTGAAATATTCTCTGTCGATCGACTGATCAGCTTGTTTGTTTCTTCGTGTATGGGAGTGTGAAGTTGTGTTCCAATGTGCGTGTTTGTATTGTGAGTTAGGTGTGTTGCTCACAGAATGAGTGAGAACGGATTGATTGTCTTGCTACAAGTCTTTGTTCAGTTCACTGAAATCAAATGGAATGACAATATGAATAATCTGCTAAACGTATTAAATGTTGTATTTAGGATTAAGACGAATCATAATCAAATGTTCATTTCTATACCCAAGTGAAATGAATCTACCTAAGTTTATCAATGGAAATTAATTCATTTTTGTTCCACATGGTTTGACTAATCAAGCGCTGAACCATTGAAAAGTGGGAAATGCTCTTCTTTAATTCAAATCTACAATGGAAAGGCACTTCATCGTGTTATGCTTATGTTTAATAGACCATTGATAGCCGTGCCAGGTATCCTTGTGGCCACGATGATCGGCTCGCATACGTTCACTCCAAGTTCGAGTCCCGGTAGGGTCTCGGTGAATGTACCTGTTGAGGATTCCTTACAAGGATGAAGCAGCTGTAAAATGCACTCATGGTTTTCAATGTTTTGAAAGTCTATAGTGCACGATCAATGCTAACATTTGAACCTCACTATCCTACTGCTCATAATTAATTTATGTATTTGATCAATTTGAACCATTGCAATGGCGTAGTGTGATTTTGTTTACTTGACCCATTCACGTTATGCATATGTTTTCACTTTGTCGTATTTAAACAATGACAGTGTCAGTGCAAGGAGCAAGCAGTTTGAGCACAGGTGAGCTGGGATGTGCTTATCTGTACGGATGTTGCGGTCGTCATTATCACTTGCACACGTTTGACTGACGAGTGTTCATCAGAACAAACTTAACAAATGCTTCAAAGTTTGATCCATTATTCGTTCAAAGGAGTCTATTACTGAATGTATAGACGAAGACTAAAATGTGCATAGGCTAGGTAGAACATCGAACAACCGCGAGCAGGGGTTAAATGGTTTTTTGTTTGAATGAATGAATAACATAACGATGTGAAGAATGAAAGATAAAAAATGGAAGAAATATGGGTTGGAAAAAAGCGTGATAGAATATTATGAAAACAGAACTGATATATAACTGACTAAATCGACAAATAACTTAGTAACATCTATCCGTGAGAGTGCGGAAAATGCAAATTGAGCGCACGGCATAAAACAGCTGAACATGGTGTTTGAAAAAGAGCTTTCGAGATTAGGATACCCAACAAAAATGGGACAGTGGGAAGGAAAGCTTACGATCACTATTTATGCAATACTACTACTAGTACGCCAAAAACATTGAGTCCAACCGAAGTGAAAACGACAAATGTTTTAGAGTTATAATGCTCTAATTTTCCACCCCACAAACAATGCCAGTGACGCGACAAGAAGTGAGCACTCCGAACCCAGGTGAGTTCGAATTATTCGATCCATACGAGTACCGTACTATTCACGGTTGTCCTTCTCAGGAATATTGATATGTCTCATTGGAAAGTGATCCGTCACGGAACGAGCATTTTTCGCATTTACCGAGAGCCATTGCTTTCACAAGATCACAAACAACTGCATAAATAGACGATGGACTAATAATTGAACTAGTAAAAATATATTGCATTGAATGATCGAAGGTTAAAAGGTAAACTTTGTATATCGGGTTGAATCACAGATTTGTCAAATGGTAGATTACCTGATTGAGTGAATGATTGATTGAAAGGACGATGGAATAATTATTATATTGATTCATTACATGCACAGCGGTTTGTTTTTTTCATTCAAATAGAATTTGATTACTGAAATGAATAATCGGCTTCGTCTGTGAATGGTTCTTTGAAGGGATCATTGGGCAATTATTTGATTACTAGCTTGGTCTGTGAATCCACTGTTCGCTGGATTCGATGAAGTTATTGATTAATTGCGATTGTGGAGAGCGAAGATCAGAGTACGAGAGAGTGAGCGCTTGTATGTTCACGTCCTACCCCACCTTTCCAGACACTTACTAGTTGCAAATTCTATGCATGTTTGAGTGAATCAAAAGAGCGGATGTTCCGAGTTGGATTTCTGTAGCAGATAATCTCTGCCGATTGACTGATCAGCTTGTTTGTTTCTTCGTGTATGGGAGTGTGAAATTGTGTTCCAATGTGCGTGTTTGTGTTGTGAGTTAGGTGTGTTGCTCACAGGATGAGTGAGAACGAATTGATTTTCTTGCTACAAGTCTTTGTTCAGTTCACTGAAATCAAATGGAATGACAATATGACTAATCTGCTAAACGGATGAAATGTTGTATTTAGGATTAAAACGAATCCTAATCAAATGTCCACTTTAATTTGAAATGAAATAAAACTATCTAGTTTTACCATTGATAATTGGTTAGATTGTTTGTATTTGGCCGTTTTTGATCTAATCTCACTGGGTAATGTGGTGTTGTTTATTTCACTCGCTCTAATTTTGCTTATTATCCCCTTGTTCCTATTTTGACAATGGTAGTGACAGTGCAAGAAGTGAGCACTCCGAACCCAGGTGAGTTCAAATTAGTGTATCTTCAGGAGTGCTGTGCTTTTCACATATGTCTTATACGGGATCATCAATATTTGTCGTTGAAATGTTGTCGTCTATGTAAGGTATATTTGTTCACACTTTGAAAAAATGTTAATTTTTTTCTGCAAACTCATAGACTAAATAAGTGCATGATTTTCGTCCGCAATCGACTGATTTTATTTAAACGAAACCCATATCACAAAGCGGAGAGAACGGGTTGGATTTGCTACCTGCACAGAATTGTCAGCAAACCGTTCACGAGATAAATACAGTTATAAAGGTTTCAGGACGCCAAAGCATTAGTAGATAGGTCAGGCTCGAGAAGGCAATGCAGGAATGAGTCAAGTGATTTAGAATGCAGGTCCTTAATTTCCGGGTTATTTCGACCAATCAATGAACAGTAGAGAGTTATTGATTCGGAGGAACAAAAGCACGCAGGCTTGGGTGAAGAACAAGCGGAGTACTGTGGTTTTGAGATGCAAGATGAGAAGGAGACGGCTTTTTCTTGTCATTCACACGGAAAAGGTAGATTACGAGGAAAAGATAATAAAGTCCCAAAGTTTGTACCTTGTCATGTAACCTAGACAATTATGACGTAGATAAATCCGGTACCGGGGAAAAGGTTACGTGGGCGGTAAAATCGAACGGATGAGCATAAGAGATATATTCGTGACAATCGGGGTAACTCGACACTTGTCATAGAGACAAGACTAAAGGCTGCGCGACGCAATAGGACCGAACAACAAATTGTTACGCGGGTGAGGAAGTCGAAGGATTTGGTCGACGAGTAATGTATTAGTGACAGTGCATGGAAAGCAAGAAAGTAGTTTGGTGAATATAAGACAATATGAGGATAGGAAGCATGGGATCTACTCTGAACCAGTTTACCTGAGCTTCATGATGAAGCGAGGTAAATTTATCTACTCACGTCCAATAAATCATCACATTGTCCGCCAATTTCGTTCGCCAGATCATCACGTTCTACTGAATCGAACGCGGTTCCCGAATATACTAGATCACTGCTTCCTGCTGATCGTTGGGGATGCTTGTAAGGTGGAACACTTTACAACACGGGCCGTTCTTCATGAACCACTTTTCGTGTTTTCAAATTCTTTCTCCTCTTCTAGTACCGCAGACTCGCAAGCAATCTCCGGTGTTTTGCCCGATCGCATGGGAACCCACGTTTTCATTGTGAATTGAATAAACGGCCTTTCCTCGAGGGCTTTGCTCGTAGTTTCTTCTTATGACTTCGAAGAATGGCATACCTCCGGACCCTCGAACATACACTTGTCTAAGCTTTCATGCTATTTGGGGAGATATGAGCTATCAGCTCGAACTAAATGTCCTTTGTGGCACGCATTGATCGGGGATGGTTCTTATATATATATATATATATATATATATATATATATAGATATATATATATACATATATATATATATATATTTGGGCCTTGGAGATCCGGGAGAACCAACTCCACCATTTGGCCTACACTCAGAATGAATAAAAACAGGATCTCAGGTGTCGCGGAGTTCCTTGATCGTGAGGACATTATTGTTTCTTAGGGGTGAAATCCATCCAACTGGTTATTGGGCCCTATCATAGTGTGCTGGATCTTCATGAAACCGCCAAAATATGAATCAGAGAATAGGCTTCATTTAGATTATATCCACTGATCGTTTAGGCTTGATTGTTTCTCCGACTTAGAAAAACATTTTCCTTGGCATATTTCGTCACGGAAGCAAGCATGTTGTCATACCACATCAAAGTGCATTCTTGTCGTTATGGGACTGATCGAATGACTGATGGATTGATCCATTGATCTAATGAAATAATGGATGATTATTTCACTGAGAGCCTTGATTTAGTCTGCTGGTCTATTGTTTGGTCTATTACACTTTGGAAAATATTGGCTGTGAAAGTGTTCAGTGGGAAAGTAATTGAAAGTGTGCATGCCACTCTCTGTGCTAATTAACATCCAGAATACCACCAGAAGGCCAATTCCACTGTCACAAAACTGAAACGGTCTTCATTGATGGGTTGTAATCGACAATTTCCTGCGTGATCGCTCGATCATAATATTTCATACGATTGATTCTACACGTGTTTGTTCAACTGACTGGCTCTAATCGTGCACATGCAATTATTCTCTCCCATTTGAACAATGCCAGTGACACGACAAGAAGTGAGCACTCCGAACCCAGGTGAGTTCGAATTATTCGATCCATACGAGTACCGTACGATTCACCGTTGTCATTCTCAGGAATATTGATATATCTCATTGGAAAGTGATCTCTTACGGGATGAACATTTGTTCGCATTGGACGAAAATCAATATCGCCATGAAATCTTAGAACACGTCGAAGGAATATTTGAATGCTTGGTAGACTAGTTAATAGATTGATCGATTGAATGTTTGGTTGTGTGATTGTTCTACATATTTGAATTCGATGATGAATACTGAAATGAACAATCGGCTTCGTCTGTGAATGGTTCTTTGAAAGGATCATTGGGCAATTATTTGATTACTTGCTTGGTCTGTGAACCCACTGTTCGCTGGATTCGATGAAGTTATTGATTAATTGCGACTGTAGAGAGCAAGGATGAGAATCCGAGAGAGTGAGCGCTTGTATGTTCACGTCCTACCCCACCTTTCCAGACACTTACTAGTTGCAAATTCTATGCATGTTTGAGTGAATCAAAAAAGCGGATGTTCCGAGTTGGATTTCTGTAGCAGATAATCTCTGCCGATTGACTGATCAGCTTGTTTGTTTCTTCGTGTATGGGAGTGTGAAATTGTGTTCCAATGTGCGTGTTTGTGTTGTGAGTTAGGTGTGTTGCTCACAGAATGAGTGAGAACGGATTGATTTTCTTGCTACAAGTCTTTGTTCAGTTCATTGAAATCAAATGGAATGATAAAATGACTAATCTGCTAAACGGATGAAATGTTGTATTTAGGATTAAAACGAATCCTAATCAAATGTCCACTTTAATTTGAAATGAAATAAAACTATCTAGTTTTACCATTGATAATTGGTTAGATTGTTTGTGTTTGGTCGTTTTTGATCTAATCTCACTGGGTAATGTGGTGTTGTTTATTTCACTCGCTCTAATTTTGCTTATTATCCCCTTGTTCCTATTTTGACAATGGTAGTGACAGTGCAAGAAGTGAGCACTCCGAACCCAGGTGAGTTCAAATTAGTGTATCTTCAGGAGTGCTGTGCTCTTCACATATGTCTTATACGGGATCATCAATATTTGTCGTTGAAATGTTGTCGTCTATGTAAGGTATATTTGTTCACACTTTGAAAAATGTGAATTTTTCTGCAAACTCATAGACTAAATAAGTGCATGATTTTCGTCCGCAATCGACTGATTTTATTTAAACGAAACCCATATCACAAAGCGGAGAGAACGGGTTGGATTTGCTACCTGCACAGAATTGTCAGCAAACCGTTCACGAGATAAATACAGTTATAAAGGTTTCAGGACGCCAAAGCATTAGTAGATAGGTCAGGCTCGAGAAGGCAATGCAGGAATGAGTCAAGTGATTTATAATGCAGGTCCTTAATTTCCGGGTTATTTCGACCAATCAATGAACAGTAGAGAGTTATTGATTCGGAGGAACAAAAGCACGCAGGCTTGGGTGAAGAACAAGCGGAGTACTGTGGTTTTGAGATGCAAGATGAGAAGGAGACGGCTTTTTCTTGTCATTCACACGGAAAAGGTAGATTACGAGGAAAAGATAATAAAGTCCCAAAGTTTGTACCTTGTCATGTAACCTAGACAATTATGACGTAGATAAATCCGGTACCGGGGAAAAGGTTACGTGGGCGGTAAAATCGAACGGATGAGCATAAGAGATATATTCGTGACAATCGGGGTAACTCGACACTTGTCATAGAGACAAGACTAAAGGCTGCGCGACGCAATAGGACCGAACAACAAATTGTTACGCGGGTGAGGAAGTCGAAGGATTTGGTCGACGAGTAATGTATTAGTGACAGTGCATGGAAAGCAAGAAAGTAGTTTGGTGAATATAAGACAATATGAGGATAGGAAGCATGGGATCTACTCTGAACCAGTTTACCTGAGCTTCATGATGAAGCGAGGTAAATTTATCTACTCACGTCCAATAAATCATCACATTGTCCGCCAATTTCGTTCGCCAGATCATCACGTTCTACTGAATCGAACGCGGTTCCCGAATATACTAGATCACTGCTTCCTGCTGATCGTTGGGAATGCTTGTAAGGTGGAACACTTTACAACACGGGCCGTTCTTCATGAACCACTTTTCGTGTTTTCAAATTCTTTCTCCTCTTCTAGTACCGCAGACTCGCAAGCAATCTCCGGTGTTTTGCCCGATCGCATGGGAACCCACGTTTTCATTGTGAATTGAATAAACGGCCTTTCCTCGAGGGCTTTGCTCGTAGTTTCTTCTTATGACTTCGAAGAATGGCATACCTCCGGACCCTCGAACATACACTTGTCTAAGCTTTCATGCTATTTGGGGAGATATGAGCTATCAGCTCGAACTGAATGTCCTTTGTGGCACGCATTGATCGGGGATGGTTCTTATATATATATATATATATATACATATATATATAGATATATATATATATACATATATATATATATATATTTGGGCCTTGGAGATCCGGGAGAACCAACTCCACCATTTGGCCTACACTCAGAATGAATAAAAACAGGATCTCAGGTGTCGCGGAGTTCCTTGATCGTGAGGACATTATTGTTTCTTAGGGGTGAAATCCATCCAACTGGTTATTGGGCCCTATCATAGTGTGCTGGATCTTCATGAAACCGCCAAAATATGAATCAGAGAATAGGCTTCATTTAGATTATATCCACTGATCGTTTAGGCTTGATTGTTTCTCCGACTTAGAAAAACATTTTCCTTGGCATATTTCGTCACGGAAGCAAGCATGTTGTCATACCACATCAAAGTGCATTCTTGTCGTTATGGGACTGATCGAATGACTGATGGATTGATCCATTGATCTAATGAAATAATGGATGATTATTTCACTGAGAGCCTTGATTTAGTCTGCTGGTCTATTGTTTGGTCTATTACACTTTGGAAAATATTGGCTGTGAAAGTGTTCAGTGGGAAAGTAATTGAAAGTGTGCATGCCACTCTCTGTGCTAACTAACATCCAGAATACCACCAGAAGGCCAATTCCACTGTCACAAAACTGAAACGGTCTTCATTGATGGGTTGTAATCGACAATTTCCTGCGTGATTGCTCGATCATAATATTTCATACGATTGATTCTACACGTGTTTGTTCAACTGACTGGCCCTAATCGTGCACATGCAATTATTCTCTCCCATTTGAACAATGCCAGTGACACGACAAGAAGTGAGCACTCCGAACCCAGGTGAGTTCGAATTATTCGATCCATACGAGTACCGTACGATTCACCGTTGTCATTCTCAGGAATATTGATATATCTCATTGGAAAGTGATCTCTTACGGGATGAACATTTGTTCGCATTGGACGAAAATCAATATCGCCATGAAATCTTAGAACACGTCGAAGGAATATTTGAATGCTTGGTAGACTAGTTAATAGATTGATCGATTGAATGTTTGGTTGTGTGATTGTTCTACATATTTGAATTCGATGATGAATACTGAAATGAATAATCGGCTTCGTCTGTGAATGGTTCTTTGAAAGGATCATTGGGCAATTATTTGATTACTTGCTTGGTCTGTGAACCCACTGTTCGCTGGATTCGATGAAGTTATTGATTAATTGCGACTGTAGAGAGCAAGGATGAGAATCCGAGAGAGTGAGCGCTTGTATGTTCACGTCCTACCCCACCTTTCCAGACACTTACTAGTTGCAAATTCTATGCATGTTTGAGTGAATCAAAAGAGCGGATGTTCCGAGTTGGATTTCTGTAGCAGATAATCTCTGCCGATTGACTGATCAGCTTGTTTGTTTCTTCGTGTATGGGAGTGTGAAATTGTGTTCCAATGTGCGTGTTTGTGTTGTGAGTTAGGTGTGTTGCTCACAGAATGAGTGAGAACGGATTGATTTTCTTGCTACAAGTCTTTGTTCAGTTCATTGAAATCAAATGGAATGATAAAATGACTAATCTGCTAAACGGATGAAATGTTGTATTTAGGATTAAAACGAATCCTAATCAAATGTCCACTTTAATTTGAAATGAAATAAAACTATCTAGTTTTACCATTGATAATTGGTTAGATTGTTTGTGTTTGGTCGTTTTTGATCTAATCTCACTGGGTAATGTGGTGTTGTTTATTTCACTCGCTCTAATTTTGCTTATTATCCCCTTGTTCCTATTTTGACAATGGTAGTGACAGTGCAAGAAGTGAGCACTCCGAACCCAGGTGAGTTCAAATTAGTGTATCTTCAGGAGTGCTGTGCTCTTCACATATGTCTTATACGGGATCATCAATATTTGTCGTTGAAATGTTGTCGTCTATGTAAGGTATATTTGTTCACACTTTGAAAAATGTGAATTTTTCTGCAAACTCATAGACTAAATAAGTGCATGATTTTCGTCCGCAATCGACTGATTTTATTTAAACGAAACCCATATCACAAAGCGGAGAGAACGGGTTGGATTTGCTACCTGCACAGAATTGTCAGCAAACCGTTCACGAGATAAATACAGTTATAAAGGTTTCAGGACGCCAAAGCATTAGTAGATAGGTCAGGCTCGAGAAGGCAATGCAGGAATGAGTCAAGTGATTTATAATGCAGGTCCTTAATTTCCGGGTTATTTCGACCAATCAATGAACAGTAGAGAGTTATTGATTCGGAGGAACAAAAGCACGCAGGCTTGGGTGAAGAACAAGCGGAGTACTGTGGTTTTGAGATGCAAGATGAGAAGGAGACGGCTTTTTCTTGTCATTCACACGGAAAAGGTAGATTACGAGGAAAAGATAATAAAGTCCCAAAGTTTGTACCTTGTCATGTAACCTAGACAATTATGACGTAGATAAATCCGGTACCGGGGAAAAGGTTACGTGGGCGGTAAAATCGAACGGATGAGCATAAGAGATATATTCGTGACAATCGGGGTAACTCGACACTTGTCATAGAGACAAGACTAAAGGCTGCGCGACGCAATAGGACCGAACAACAAATTGTTACGCGGGTGAGGAAGTCGAAGGATTTGGTCGACGAGTAATGTATTAGTGACAGTGCATGGAAAGCAAGAAAGTAGTTTGGTGAATATAAGACAATATGAGGATAGGAAGCATGGGATCTACTCTGAACCAGTTTACCTGAGCTTCATGATGAAGCGAGGTAAATTTATCTACTCACGTCCAATAAATCATCACATTGTCCGCCAATTTCGTTCGCCAGATCATCACGTTCTACTGAATCGAACGCGGTTCCCGAATATACTAGATCACTGCTTCCTGCTGATCGTTGGGAATGCTTGTAAGGTGGAACACTTTACAACACGGGCCGTTCTTCATGAACCACTTTTCGTGTTTTCAAATTCTTTCTCCTCTTCTAGTACCGCAGACTCGCAAGCAATCTCCGGTGTTTTGCCCGATCGCATGGGAACCCACGTTTTCATTGTGAATTGAATAAACGGCCTTTCCTCGAGGGCTTTGCTCGTAGTTTCTTCTTATGACTTCGAAGAATGGCATACCTCCGGACCCTCGAACATACACTTGTCTAAGCTTTCATGCTATTTGGGGAGATATGAGCTATCAGCTCGAACTAAATGTCCTTTGTGGCACGCATTGATCGGGGATGGTTCTTATATATATATATATATATATATACATATATATATAGATATATATATATATACATATATATATATATATATTTGGGCCTTGGAGATCCGGGAGAACCAACTCCACCATTTGGCCTACACTCAGAATGAATAAAAACAGGATCTCAGGTGTCGCGGAGTTCCTTGATCGTGAGGACATTATTGTTTCTTAGGGGTGAAATCCATCCAACTGGTTATTGGGCCCTATCATAGTGTGCTGGATCTTCATGAAACCGCCAAAATATGAATCAGAGAATAGGCTTCATTTAGATTATATCCACTGATCGTTTAGGCTTGATTGTTTCTCCGACTTAGAAAAACATTTTCCTTGGCATATTTCGTCACGGAAGCAAGCATGTTGTCATACCACATCAAAGTGCATTCTTGTCGTTATGGGACTGATCGAATGACTGATGGATTGATCCATTGATCTAATGAAATAATGGATGATTATTTCACTGAGAGCCTTGATTTAGTCTGCTGGTCTATTGTTTGGTCTATTACACTTTGGAAAATATTGGCTGTGAAAGTGTTCAGTGGGAAAGTAATTGAAAGTGTGCATGCCACTCTCTGTGCTAACTAACATCCAGAATACCACCAGAAGGCCAATTCCACTGTCACAAAACTGAAACGGTCTTCATTGATGGGTTGTAATCGACAATTTCCTGCGTGATCGCTCGATCATAATATTTCATACGATTGATTCTACACGTGTTTGTTCAACTGACTGGCTCTAATCGTGCACATGCAATTATTCTCTCCCATTTGAACAATGCCAGTGACACGACAAGAAGTGAGCACTCCGAACCCAGGTGAGTTCGAATTATTCGATCCATACGAGTACCGTACGATTCACCGTTGTCATTCTCAGGAATATTGATATATCTCATTGGAAAGTGATCTCTTACGGGATGAACATTTGTTCGCATTGGACGAAAATCAATATCGCCATGAAATCTTAGAACACGTCGAAGGAATATTTGAATGCTTGGTAGACTAGTTAATAGATTGATCGATTGAATGTTTGGTTGTGTGATTGTTCTACATATTTGAATTCGATGATGAATACTGAAATGAATAATCGGCTTCGTCTGTGAATGGTTCTTTGAAAGGATCATTGGGCAATTATTTGATTACTTGCTTGGTCTGTGAACCCACTGTTCGCTGGATTCGATGAAGTTATTGATTAATTGCGACTGTAGAGAGCAAGGATGAGAATCCGAGAGAGTGAGCGCTTGTATGTTCACGTCCTACCCCACCTTTCCAGACACTTACTAGTTGCAAATTCTATGCATGTTTGAGTGAATCAAAAGAGCGGATGTTCCGAGTTGGATTTCTGTAGCAGATAATCTCTGCCGATTGACTGATCAGCTTGTTTGTTTCTTCGTGTATGGGAGTGTGAAATTGTGTTCCAATGTGCGTGTTTGTGTTGTGAGTTAGGTGTGTTGCTCACAGAATGAGTGAGAACGGATTGATTTTCTTGCTACAAGTCTTTGTTCAGTTCATTGAAATCAAATGGAATGATAAAATGACTAATCTGCTAAACGGATGAAATGTCGTATTTAGGATTAAAACGAATTTTAATCAAACGTTCACTTCAATTCCTAATGAAAGCAAGCTATCCAGAGTAATCTTGTTTTTCAATTATTTCTTTATGCACCCTGGTGATTGAATGTTTAGCGGAACCTATATCTACTCACAGCTAATTATCGGGAAATAATCCGCGGGTAAAACAGAAGAAGACGCAATTCTAGTAGATGATTTAGTATCGTAGATAATTCATTTTTTGTCAGTTCAGCCACGATGGATTTTGTGTTTCATAATAATCGTGCGAGGTCAGGGACAACCGGGTCCGGTAAGCAGTCTTCCGCGCGTGAATCATTTTATAACTATTGCGGGTGGATTTGGAGGAAGCACACACGCTGTGGTCACTGTGGATCCGGTTAACTGAGTCATTCAGAATTCTCTCGGCGAATCTTTTGCACACTTTATTGTGTTGGGATATAATGAAATCTTTGAGATCTTTACGAGAAATACTACTCACATGAGATAAGTGCTTGAGAAACCTTTTTTATTATGGTGAAATCTCTAGCTTAAAGGTCAAGGAAGGAGTTGGGAGAAGAACGCAACCAGTGAGGTTATATACATGAAAGGATAAAACGTTGAACGATTTAAAGGAGTACGGACGTTGCATCCAAATGCAAAACGTAGTAGGCTAATCTTCTAACTTCTGGGAAAACGCAGGAAACATGTTCAGTCCAACAAAGATTATGGGTGATCGTAATCCCAAGGTAAGCGACCGATAGTTAGCGACAAACGAAGTTGTTTTCTGTGTGAACGTCTGGACAGGATTCCAGAAAGTTCACGTACATAGAGCCTTGGAGAAGAGAGAAGATAATACCTGAGCGCTTACAGGGACTTGAGTACACATTATGGGCTTTGGACCAGTTGTCAATATCTGAGAGATCAGAATGGAGCTCAGGTGTAGCTGATGTATCAGGATGGGGTAATCCAGTCGCAACATCATCTGCATACTTCTTATTGAACGAACGGTCACTGACAGGTACGGAAGACTTGTAGGCAGAAAATAATAATGTGGGGGGGGGATAAAGCCCTATAGTACGCCTTGGTTTGAACTATGGACGGAAGAGGTTTTGCCCCGTATCTTGTAAACTGTTGCCGATTAGAGAAATAATCAGAACAAATTCCAATGATTGAAAGCTGAATTCCGTTAATTGAGAGTATGTCGAGAAGCTTTTGTGTATCAACGCATTTAAATGAGTCACTGTATTCCAGAAAGCAGGTACGCTCAGCATTTTGACTTCTTGTCCAGTGACAACAAGACATGACGAGTCAAGGAAGTAACAGCATCCAAGGTAGAGCGGGAGCAGTGAGAGACGAACTGGTTTAGGTCTCGTATTTTCAAATCATTGAACAGTTCCTGAAATAAAAACTTCTCAAACACCTTTAGTGCAATGGAGGTATACGCAATTGGAAGAAAGTTTGCCGTTCTTCTCTCTGATGGATGGAAGCTTATCTCCAAAATCGGAGATCTTCTTGTAGTATAAACATTGATTATATAATTCTGAAATGACTGGTGCGAGTATTTGTGCACAATGCTTTATTACGATTGCGGGAGGATTGTCGGGTCCGTAAAATCTGTTGTGCTTGAGGTTAAACAGCTTTTTGTAGACAGCTCGACGAAATATGATATTGGAGATGGAGCCGGTAAAGCTGCGACAAGATAAGACGCTATTACAACTGAACAACAAAGAATGATTTTGCTTGTCGAAGTCGCGGTTTAGAGCCTCAACATTAACTTTTGGGGATAATAGTTTTGTGGAGATAGTACTCAAATATTTGATGGACATCTAGAGTTCTCGACAATTATTGTTAGCTAGGAGCAAAACGACTGTATATGCTTTGACACCTGCGGGTTTCTGACTTCAATTACAAAGAAAGGGTGTTCACTGTGCGACAGTTTCCACTTCTGTGAGCACTTTTTTTCCTATAGCACAACATTTTGAGAAACCGAGAGGAAAATCCAAATAAACCATTGGAAATGTGTCATAAAGTATTTTTTTGGCTCGGATCTGCTGCAAATGGTTAGTTTGATTTGTTTATTTCCCTCGTTCTCACTTGACTATTGCTTTTCATTTTTTTGTATTTTGACAATGGTAGTGACAGTGCAAGAAGTGAGCACTCCGAACCCAGGTGAGTTCAAATTAATGTATCTGTAGGAGTGCCGTGCTCTACACATATTTCTTATACGGGGTCCCCAATATACCTCGTTCGAATGTTATTTTCTACGGAAGAAAAATCCGTTTGCACAGGAAAAACAATAATTTTTTAGTTAGATTTCTGTAGCAGATAATCTCTGCCGATTGACTGATCAGCTTGTTTGTTTCTTCGTGTATGGGAGTGTGAAGTTGTGTTCCAATGTGCGTGTTTGTATTGTGAGTAAGGTGTGTTGCTCACAGAATGAGTGAGAACGAATTGATTGTCTTGCTACAAGTCTTTGTTCAGTTCACTGAAATCAAATGGAATGATGAAATGACTAATCTGCTAAACGGATGAAATGTTGTATTTTGGATAGAAAAGCATTTTAATGATATGTACAATTCAGTTCTAAATGAGATGAAACGATCTAGATTTACCATTGATATATGGTTAGATTTTTGTGATAGATATTATTTGGTCGTATCTTACTGGGTAATGTGATTTTGTTAAATTGACTCGCTGTAATTTTGCGTATTCTTCCCTAGTTACCATTATGACAATGGTAGTGACGCGACAAGAAGTGAGCACTCCGAAACCAGGTGAGTTCGAATTATTCGATCCATACGAGTAACGTACTATTCACGGTTGTCATTCTCAGGGATATTTATGTCTCATTGGAAATTGGTCTCCTAAGGAACGAGCATTTTTCGCATTTGACGAAAGTCATTATAACCTCAAAATCTTAGACCACGTGGATGTATATCTGATTGTCTGAATAACTGAATCGATGAATGTACATTGCTTTGAATGATGGACTGTTGAAACGAACAACTGATGATTGACTGATTGATTGGTTGGTTGATTGAATGGTTGATTGAATGGTTAACTGCATAATTGGTTGGTTGATTGATTGATTGATTGATTGATTGATTGATTGATTGATTGATTGATTGATTGATTGCTTGATTGATCGGTTGATTGTTCGATGCGTCGAAATAAAGGACGATTGGTGAAATGCATGATCGGATTTGTCCGTGAATGGTTCGTCGAGAGGATTTTTGTTCACTAATGTTTTGTGCGATTTGTTCAAGTGGCTTGCCCTTATTGTGAAAATGCTATTGTTTTCTGTATTTGAACAACGATAATAAAAGTTCAAGAAGTGAGTCTTCCGCCCCCAGGTGAGTTCGAATCAGTCTCTTTCCATCCAGGCGTTTCATGCTTCTCACAGTTTTCTCCGCCAGAGACACTCATGTGCTGCTTTGGATAATTTCCCTCTCCCGTTGTTTGCGGATTTTGCAATTTTCCAAAATTTCCTCCTCTATTATAATTGAATTCTTCGGTTTATACCTGACTGGCCCAAATACTGTGTGATTGTGTAAAGCTTGGTTTGACGGAACGCATTGGGATTTTCATCTTTGTTGCTTTTCCGTTGGTTGGTTCGTAGTTTTTCATCGTATCTTCGTATCGAAGAATGGAAACGAGAATGAATATTTGTTTTATTAGTTGTTTGAACCCTTGACAGAGCTATTCTTATAAATTGATTTCTCGCTTGGTCTATTGTTTTGTTGTGCGGTGTATACAATCTAATAACTGAATGATTGTCCGAGTTCTGGGTGAGGAACATCGTAAGAGAATGTTTTAGTGTTTTTCTTTTATCTATATATGGAAGTTCATTGTTTGAGGATTAGGCAGGTTTCCAGTGTTGCATAATCATAACATTACATCACAATATATTGAGACAAGTTCAAGGGTTGAACCAATTAGACAAGTAGGAAGTGGTAACAATAAACTGTGACTAAAGAAGGGGGGGGGTGGTGGGGGGGGGGGCAATTGTAATCGGGCTTGAATCAAAACCGGACGTGTATTGTCTTTCTCGTGTTTTGTCAGTTTCCCTCTGGTTAATGGCCTATTGTAAGGTGGAGGGAGGGTCAGAGCAGCTTAAAAGCACACAAATTGTTTTTGATAACAAAGAGGGGTTTGTGAAGGCGGATGCTGAGAGCCTTAGCTTTTGCTAAAATGTGACATTTAGCCGGTCTTGATTGCCGACCCCGAATCTTGTACAGCGCACGGAAGGCCTTAGTAACGTTTACTGCGTGACTAGCCAAAGCAAGGTGTGAAAACAACAGCGCTAGTGAGTGACTTAACTGCTCCGGTGTTTCAATATCAAGGGCAGTGTTTGCAGATGTGTTCAAACACACGCCGGTCGTTCGGCCGATATACGTTGTACCACATAAACAAGTGAATGAATAAACACAGAATGAGGCTGCAGAATCAGGCACTTGATCTTTCAACCGCAAAAGTACAACTGGCCGGTATTCGGACAAAATCCCGAGCTTAGCTGCGTAGAGTGTTTGCTTATCACTACTGACAATCTTCTATGCACAATCTATGCCAACGTATCACTTTTGAATGGCAAAGAGATGTATATTGGTCTTCTTTCCACCCCAAACTCCCTTGGAGTTTCCACTTTGGCTCGTATCGTCTTCTCAACTAGCCGACTTGGGACGCCGTTTTGGATGAAGGTTCTTCGTAGCGTTTGCAGTTCTTCTTCATTGGTGTCTTCCAAGCATATTCGGCTTGCTCTGTTTGTGAGGTATCGAATAAGATCATTTTAGTCTTTAGAAGCACAAAGCTGTGAAAGTGAATGTATTGTTCACTTTGCGTTTTGGTGTACTGACCGACTGGCTGGGCCGTCTTCAAGGTGACTCATCCGAACGTCAAAGAGAGTGATTGTTTTGTCTGAATCCGTCTCTAAAGTAGAACGCAAAACTTACATGAGCTCAGTAACAGCAGTCTAGCAGCTGACAGAGGTGGTCTGATGAACTGATTACGCAGAACGTGTCATCTACGTAACGTTTTTACACAAAACAATTCAGTATTGAAGATTCCAGTGAGCCATTTTGTAACCTCGCCATGAAGACATCGGCAAGCAGTGGTCCGATTGAGGAGCCCATTGCTACTCCATCCTTTTGGCGATTAATCTGATTGGTAAATTAGAAATGAATGTTGTACGCTTAGAAAAACAGTCTGGTTCAGAACTTTCGGGGGCTTGCATGTCTCAGTTGTGTTCCTTCCAATCTAGTCACATTGGTAAACAATGGATTCACCTATTGAGAAAGTGAACTAACATCTAATGGAAGCACCCGACGTTCTTCCACGTTCAGGTCTCTCACGCAGTTTTTGAAATCAAATGTGTCTTCGAGGATTTCATTTGGTGCTCAGGTGCTAATTGGGAAATTTCCTACAGGCTGGTGTGTTGAATTTTCATGGAGTATTGTGCAGCCATCACCGGGCATGCTTAAGAATGAATATGAATGTGTTATTGCAGTCAAATGTTTGTTACTCTATAGTCTGTCCAACACTGTGTTCCTTGACGAGGAATAGATAATTGATTCAACGAATACCCATCAACAAATGGACAGCTCAGCGATCGACTAAATAAATGAAGTATTCTTCAATGAACTCGGAACTCAATCAATCAATTATCCAGGGGTGACATTCTAATGAGTGAACAAGACTGAAATGCCTGCATGGGCCCTGTGGACGACCATAAACAACGTTTACTGGAAAAATTTGGTCTCACTGAGTAATGGGAAAATGGCGACCGTCTAGTTACTTTTGCAGATCTCAAACGGTCGGTACATTCAAAGTAGCATTTGATGATATGGCATCCGAACGGCAGCAGGGTAAGCCACCAGATGGACTTCATATTGATAGGATCTCGCTGGACCTCTCCAGTTGAGAAAGTCGGGCGTATAGTGATGGCAAAATCGGGTACACTAATGGTATTGGCTACACACTCATACGTGTCCGTCTCAAGATCCGTCTCCTAGCCCAAGATAGACTAGTCACCGAGGCCAAACCAATATCTTCTTGTCGGCAATTACTGACATAGCTCAAGCTACAACAAATGCTATCGACCGCAGGCTGGACAGTAACCCTACTGCTGGTAGTATATATGCATGACATATTGCGCTGAAATTATCCATAACAGGTGCTGCGTTTGAACAATTGAGCAAGGTATTCCCGCCTTAAAAGTAGTGGGTCTCCGCAGGAACTCTCAGCCGTTGCTCAATGGCTAGAAAGTCGAGATAGCATGATTCACTCAATTCGCACAGCATTTGCCGAGCAGATGTGGTGTCTGCAAAGAATAGCTGTTAACAGTGCTGGTCGTAATTAACGGATATGATAGAAATCGTAGACATTTTTGCGGATTCACGAATCACTTCCAACTCATACACTTTGTTTTGGGAAAAAGATACCATCACGTTCTTTGATGTGGGACGACAACAGGTTGCCATTCGCGCCTTTTCTCTCAAACACTCGTGGAACCTGCCGACGAGAATGAGTGATACGAGAAGCTGGAAAGTATCGATCATTGGTGCTTTCTGCACGCAGTCAAATAAAATGGCATATTCGAGTCTCAAATTCCACTTTACAGAAAAGCTGCTCAAGTGTTCAAGTGCTGTCTTCTTTTCTTCAGCTGTGCCGTTTCCAATGTTCCCAGGCTAACCGAGAGAAACCTTCTAACGGCACATTGTCCAAGTTTGAAATATCACCTTGACTGCCAACTGAAGACATCTGTCAACATAATCAAAAATAACTTGAGACTTCCTAGCCTTCAGTCAGCATTCGGAATCTTTTTTCAGCACAAGAACTGGATTTCCCTTCGAACCAATCTTGCCTCCGACGGCGACGCGTGAAAAACCCGTCCTCACAGATATTCGAGAATCCTAATAGTCCTCTCACCGCATTTTATTGTAAAAAAGTGAAATATAGTAGTATTAGATTACAAGCTTGGTTTGCTCATTTATTAGTCGATCCGTTCAATCGATTGAGTAATCGAATGCGAAGGTAGATGAGAGAATGAGAGATAGATTGGTTACTTTTCTACATGATTGCTTCCTAGTAGACATTTATTTGCTGCCAGTTTCGAGATTTGTTAACAGGTTGTCGTTTGGCTATTGTTTTGTGCAGTAAGAAGCTCTATGCATGTGGGTCAATATCTCATATTATTTGTGTGTGCGTGTTGCTTGTGTCTCCTCTGTGTGTTCTGTTCATAACAGTGTGTCTTGAGGAGGAAATCAGATTTGATAAAACGATCACCCACCAGCATATGAACAGCTCAAAATTTGACTAACTCGATGATTGACTGAATGAATGAATGAATGACAGGCTGACTAACCTACGGACTGGCTGACCAATTGATTGGCTGATTGACTAACTTACGGACTGACTGAATCATTGACGGGCTGAATGACTAAGTATTCAAACGAGAGAAGAACGAATGAATGTGTTTTTCAACTAAAATCAGAAAGGCCCATTCTACTCTCAACAAACTGAAACGACATTCATTGATTGGTTGCAATCGACAATTTCCAACTTGATCGATCGTTCATTATATTTCTTGCAATAGATTCTACACGTGTTTGTTAAACTGACTTGCTCTAATCGTGCACATGCAATTATTTTCTCCCATTTGAACAATGCCAGTGACGCGGCAAGAAGTGAGCACTCCGAAACCAGGTGAGTTCGAATTATTCGATCCATACGAGTAACGTACTATTCACGGTTGTCATTCTCAGGGATATTTATGTCTCATTGGAAATTGGTCTCCTAAGGAACGAACATTTTTCGCATTTGACGAAAGTCATTATAACCTCAAAATCCTAGACCACGTGGATGTATATCTGAATGTCTGAATAATTGAATCGATGAATGTACATTGCTTTGAATGATGGACTGTTGAAACGAACCATTAGTTGACTTATAGTTTGATCGAATGAATGAATGATTGACTGATTGATTGGTTGGTTGATTGAATGGTTGATCGAATGGTTAACTGCATAATTGATTGGTTGATTGATTAATTGATTGATTGGTTGATTGATTGATGTGTTGGTTGATTGATTGATTGATTGATTGATTGATTGATTGATTGATTGATTGATTGATTGATTGATAGATTGCTTGAATGATTGATTGCTTGATTGATCGGTTGATTGTTCGATGCGTCGAAATAAAGGACGATTGGTGAAATGCATGATCGGATTTGTCCGTGAATGGTTCGTCGAGAGGATTTTTGTTCACTAATGAGATAGTGTGCGCCCATATTTGGTTTCCATCTTCCCATCTAATCTGTTTCACAGTGCGAGTTTTGTGCACATAATTTCGTCTTGTTTTTGTTCATTCAATATGCAATAATCTGATGGTTTGTCTGTGTATTTGTGTTTTGTTTGGATGTGTGTATGTTGGGTGTGTCCTCTCTGTGTTTTGTGCGATTTGTTCAAGTGGCTTGCCCTTATTGTGAAAATGCTATTGTTTTCTGTATTTGAACAACGATAATAAAAGTTCAAGAAGTGAGTCTTCCGCCCCCAGGTGAGTTCGAATCAGTCTCTTTCCATCCAGGCGTTTCATGCTTCTCACAGTTTTCTCCGCCAGAGACACTCATGTGCTGCTTTGGATAATTTCCCTCTCCCGTTGTTTGCGGATTTTGCAATTTTCCAAAATTTCCTCCTCTATTATAATTGAATTCTTCGGTTTATACCTGACTGGCCCAAATACTGTGTGATTGTGTAAAGCTTGGTTTGACGGAACGCATTGGGATTTTCATCTTTGTTGCTTTTCCGTTGGTTGGTTCGTAGTTTTTCATCGTATCTTCGTATCGAAGAATGGAAACGAGAATGAATATTTGTTTTATTAGTTGTTTGAACCCTTGACAGAGCTATTCTTATAAATTGATTTCTCGCTTGGTCTATTGTTTTGTTGTGCGGTGTATACAATCTAATAACTGAATGATTGTCCGAGTTCTGGGTGAGGAACATCGTAAGAGAATGTTTTAGTGTTTTTCTTTTATCTATATATGGAAGTTCATTGTTTGAGGATTAGGCAGGTTTCCAGTGTTGCATAATCATAACATTACATCACAATATATTGAGACAAGTTCAAGGGTTGAACCAATTAGACAAGTAGGAAGTGGTAACAATAAACTGTGACTAAAGAAGGGGGGGTGGTGGGGGGGGGGCAATTGTAATCGGGCTTGAATCAAAACCGGACGTGTATTGTCTTTCTCGTGTTTTGTCAGTTTCCCTCTGGTTAATGGCCTATTGTAAGGTGGAGGGAGGGTCAGAGCAGCTTAAAAGCACACAAATTGTTTTTGATAACAAAGAGGGGTTTGTGAAGGCGGATGCTGAGAGCCTTAGCTTTTGCTAAAATGTGACATTTAGCCGGTCTTGATTGCCGACCCCGAATCTTGTACAGCGCACGGAAGGCCTTAGTAACGTTTACTGCGTGACTAGCCAAAGCAAGGTGTGAAAACAACAGCGCTAGTGAGTGACTTAACTGCTCCGGTGTTTCAATATCAAGGGCAGTGTTTGCAGATGTGTTCAAACACACGCCGGTCGTTCGGCCGATATACGTTGTACCACATAAACAAGTGAATGAATAAACACAGAATGAGGCTGCAGAATCAGGCACTTGATCTTTCAACCGCAAAAGTACAACTGGCCGGTATTCGGACAAAATCCCGAGCTTAGCTGCGTAGAGTGTTTGCTTATCACTACTGACAATCTTCTATGCACAATCTATGCCAACGTATCACTTTTGAATGGCAAAGAGATGTATATTGGTCTTCTTTCCACCCCAAACTCCCTTGGAGTTTCCACTTTGGCTCGTATCGTCTTCTCAACTAGCCGACTTGGGACGCCGTTTTGGATGAAGGTTCTTCGTAGCGTTTGCAGTTCTTCTTCATTGGTGTCTTCCAAGCATATTCGGCTTGCTCTGTTTGTGAGGTATCGAATAAGATCATTTTAGTCTTTAGAAGCACAAAGCTGTGAAAGTGAATGTATTGTTCACTTTGCGTTTTGGTGTACTGACCGACTGGCTGGGCCGTCTTCAAGGTGACTCATCCGAACGTCAAAGAGAGTGATTGTTTTGTCTGAATCCGTCTCTAAAGTAGAACGCAAAACTTACATGAGCTCAGTAACAGTAGTCTAGCAGCTGACAGAGGTGGTCTGATGAACTGATTACGCAGAACGTGTCATCTACGTAACGTTTTTACACAAAACAATTCAGTATTGAAGATTCCAGTGAGCCATTTTGTAACCTCGCCATGAAGACATCGGCAAGCAGTGGTCCGATTGAGGAGCCCATTGCTACTCCATCCTTTTGGCGATTAATCTGATTGGTAAATTAGAAATGAATGTTGTACGCTTAGAAAAACAGTCTGGTTCAGAACTTTCGGGGGCTTGCATGTCTCAGTTGTGTTCCTTCCAATCTAGTCACATTGGTAAACAATGGATTCACCTATTGAGAAAGTGAACTAACATCTAATGGAAGCACCCGACGTTCTTCCACGTTCAGGTCTCTCACGCAGTTTTTGAAATCAAATGTGTCTTCGAGGATTTCATTTGGTGCTCAGGTGCTAATTGGGAAATTTCCTACAGGCTGGTGTGTTGAATTTTCATGGAGTATTGTGCAGCCATCACCGGGCATGCTTAAGAATGAATATGAATGTGTTATTGCAGTCAAATGTTTGTTACTCTATAGTCTGTCCAACACTGTGTTCCTTGACGAGGAATAGATAATTGATTCAACGAATACCCATCAACAAATGGACAGCTCAGCGATCGACTAAATAAATGAAGTATTCTTCAATGAACTCGGAACTCAATCAATCAATTATCCAGGGGTGACATTCTAATGAGTGAACAAGACTGAAATGCCTGCATGGGCCCTGTGGACGACCATAAACAACGTTTACTGGAAAAATTTGGTCTCACTGAGTAATGGGAAAATGGCGACCGTCTAGTTACTTTTGCAGATCTCAAACGGTCGGTACATTCAAAGTAGCATTTGATGATATGGCATCCGAACGGCAGCAGGGTAAGCCACCAGATGGACTTCATATTGATAGGATCTCGCTGGACCTCTCCAGTTGAGAAAGTCGGGCGTACAGTGATGGCAAAATCGGGTACACTAATGGTATTGGCTACACACTCATACGTGTCCGTCTCAAGATCCGTCTCCTAGCCCAAGATAGACTAGTCACCGAGGCCAAACCAATATCTTCTTGTCGGCAATTACTGACATAGCTCAAGCTACAACAAATGCTATCGACCGCAGGCTGGACAGTAACCCTACTGCTGGTAGTATATATGCATGACATATTGCGCTGAAATTATCCATAACAGGTGCTGCGTTTGAACAATTGAGCAAGGTATTCCCGCCTTAAAAGTAGTGGGTCTCCGCAGGAACTCTCAGCCGTTGCTCAATGGCTAGAAAGTCGAGATAGCATGATTCACTCAATTCGCACAGCATTTGCCGAGCAGATGTGGTGTCTGCAAAGAATAGCTGTTAACAGTGCTGGTCGTAATTAACGGATATGATAGAAATCGTAGACATTTTTGCGGATTCACGAATCACTTCCAACTCATACACTTTGTTTTGGGAAAAAGATACCATCACGTTCTTTGATGTGGGACGACAACAGGTTGCCATTCGCGCCTTTTCTCTCAAACACTCGTGGAACCTGCCGACGAGAATGAGTGATACGAGAAGCTGGAAAGTATCGATCATTGGTGCTTTCTGCACGCAGTCAAATAAAATGGCATATTCGAGTCTCAAATTCCACTTTACAGAAAAGCTGCTCAAGTGTTCAAGTGCTGTCTTCTTTTCTTCAGCTGTGCCGTTTCCAATGTTCCCAGGCTAACCGAGAGAAACCTTCTAACGGCACATTGTCCAAGTTTGAAATATCACCTTGACTGCCAACTGAAGACATCTGTCAACATAATCAAAAATAACTTGAGACTTCCTAGCCTTCAGTCAGCATTCGGAATCTTTTTTCAGCACAAGAACTGGATTTCCCTTCGAACCAATCTTGCCTCCGACGGCGACGCGTGAAAAACCCGTCCTCACAGATATTCGAGAATCCTAATAGTCCTCTCACCGCATTTTATTGTAAAAAAGTGAAATATAGTAGTATTAGATTACAAGCTTGGTTTGCTCATTTATTAGTCGATCCGTTCAATCGATTGAGTAATCGAATGCGAAGGTAGATGAGAGAATGAGAGATAGATTGGTTACTTTTCTACATGATTGCTTCCTAGTAGACATTTATTTGCTGCCAGTTTCGAGATTTGTTAACAGGTTGTCGTTTGGCTATTGTTTTGTGCAGTAAGAAGCTCTATGCATGTGGGTCAATATCTCATATTATTTGTGTGTGCGTGTTGCTTGTGTCTCCTCTGTGTGTTCTGTTCATAACAGTGTGTCTTGAGGAGGAAATCAGATTTGATAAAACGATCACCCACCAGCATATGAACAGCTCAAAATTTGACTAACTCGATGATTGACTGAATGAATGAATGAATGACAGGCTGACTAACCTACGGACTGGCTGACCAATTGATTGGCTGATTGACTAACTTACGGACTGACTGAATCATTGACGGGCTGAATGACTAAGTATTCAAACGAGAGAAGAACGAATGAATGTGTTTTTCAACTAAAATCAGAAAGGCCCATTCTACTCTCAACAAACTGAAACGACATTCATTGATTGGTTGCAATCGACAATTTCCAACTTGATCGATCGTTCATTATATTTCTTGCAATAGATTCTACACGTGTTTGTTAAACTGACTTGCTCTAATCGTGCACATGCAATTATTTTCTCCCATTTGAACAATGCCAGTGACGCGGCAAGAAGTGAGCACTCCGAAACCAGGTGAGTTCGAATTATTCGATCCATACGAGTAACGTACTATTCACGGTTGTCATTCTCAGGGATATTTATGTCTCATTGGAAATTGGTCTCCTAAGGAACGAACATTTTTCGCATTTGACGAAAGTCATTATAACCTCAAAATCCTAGACCACGTGGATGTATATCTGAATGTCTGAATAATTGAATCGATGAATGTACATTGCTTTGAATGATGGACTGTTGAAACGAACCATTAGTTGACTTATAGTTTGATCGAATGAATGAATGATTGACTGATTGATTGGTTGGTTGATTGAATGGTTGATCGAATGGTTAACTGCATAATTGATTGGTTGATTGATTAATTGATTGATTGGTTGATTGATTGATGTGTTGGTTGATTGATTGATTGATTGATTGATTGATTGATTGATTGATTGATTGATAGATTGCTTGAATGATTGATTGCTTGATTGATCGGTTGATTGTTCGATGCGTCGAAATAAAGGACGATTGGTGAAATGCATGATCGGATTTGTCCGTGAATGGTTCGTCGAGAGGATTTTTGTTCACTAATGAGATAGTGTGCGCCCATATTTAGTTTCCATCTTCCCATCTAATTTGTTTCACAGTGCGAGTTTTGTGCACATAATTTCGTCTTGTTTTTGTTCATTCAATATGCAATAATCTGATGGTTTGTCTGTGTATTTGTGTTTTGTTTGGATGTGTGTATGTTGAGTGTGTCCTCTCTGTGTTTTGTGCGATTTGTTCAAGTGGCTTGCCCTTATTGTGAAAATGCTATTGTTTTCTGTATTTGAACAACGATAATAAAAGTTCAAGAAGTGAGTCTTCCGCCCCCAGGTGAGTTCGAATCAGTCTCTTTCCATCCAGGCGTTTCATGCTTCTCACAGTTTTCTCCGCCAGAGACACTCATGTGCTGCTTTGGATAATTTCCCTCTCCCGTTGTTTGCGGATTTTGCAATTTTCCAAAATTTCCTCCTCTATTATAATTGAATTCTTCGGTTTATACCTGACTGGCCCAAATACTGTGTGATTGTGTAAAGCTTGGTTTGACGGAACGCATTGGGATTTTCATCTTTGTTGCTTTTCCGTTGGTTGGTTCGTAGTTTTTCATCGTATCTTCGTATCGAAGAATGGAAACGAGAATGAATATTTGTTTTATTAGTTGTTTGAACCCTTGACAGAGCTATTCTTATAAATTGATTTCTCGCTTGGTCTATTGTTTTGTTGTGCGGTGTATACAATCTAATAACTGAATGATTGTCCGAGTTCTGGGTGAGGAACATCGTAAGAGAATGTTTTAGTGTTTTTCTTTTATCTATATATGGAAGTTCATTGTTTGAGGATTAGGCAGGTTTCCAGTGTTGCATAATCATAACATTACATCACAATATATTGAGACAAGTTCAAGGGTTGAACCAATTAGACAAGTAGGAAGTGGTAACAATAAACTGTGACTAAAGAAGGGGGGGTGGTGGGGGGGGGGCAATTGTAATCGGGCTTGAATCAAAACCGGACGTGTATTGTCTTTCTCGTGTTTTGTCAGTTTCCCTCTGGTTAATGGCCTATTGTAAGGTGGAGGGAGGGTCAGAGCAGCTTAAAAGCACACAAATTGTTTTTGATAACAAAGAGGGGTTTGTGAAGGCGGATGCTGAGAGCCTTAGCTTTTGCTAAAATGTGACATTTAGCCGGTCTTGATTGCCGACCCCGAATCTTGTACAGCGCACGGAAGGCCTTAGTAACGTTTACTGCGTGACTAGCCAAAGCAAGGTGTGAAAACAACAGCGCTAGTGAGTGACTTAACTGCTCCGGTGTTTCAATATCAAGGGCAGTGTTTGCAGATGTGTTCAAACACACGCCGGTCGTTCGGCCGATATACGTTGTACCACATAAACAAGTGAATGAATAAACACAGAATGAGGCTGCAGAATCAGGCACTTGATCTTTCAACCGCAAAAGTACAACTGGCCGGTATTCGGACAAAATCCCGAGCTTAGCTGCGTAGAGTGTTTGCTTATCACTACTGACAATCTTCTATGCACAATCTATGCCAACGTATCACTTTTGAATGGCAAAGAGATGTATATTGGTCTTCTTTCCACCCCAAACTCCCTTGGAGTTTCCACTTTGGCTCGTATCGTCTTCTCAACTAGCCGACTTGGGACGCCGTTTTGGATGAAGGTTCTTCGTAGCGTTTGCAGTTCTTCTTCATTGGTGTCTTCCAAGCATATTCGGCTTGCTCTGTTTGTGAGGTATCGAATAAGATCATTTTAGTCTTTAGAAGCACAAAGCTGTGAAAGTGAATGTATTGTTCACTTTGCGTTTTGGTGTACTGACCGACTGGCTGGGCCGTCTTCAAGGTGACTCATCCGAACGTCAAAGAGAGTGATTGTTTTGTCTGAATCCGTCTCTAAAGTAGAACGCAAAACTTACATGAGCTCAGTAACAGCAGTCTAGCAGCTGACAGAGGTGGTCTGATGAACTGATTACGCAGAACGTGTCATCTACGTAACGTTTTTACACAAAACAATTCAGTATTGAAGATTCCAGTGAGCCATTTTGTAACCTCGCCATGAAGACATCGGCAAGCAGTGGTCCGATTGAGGAGCCCATTGCTACTCCATCCTTTTGGCGATTAATCTGATTGGTAAATTAGAAATGAATGTTGTACGCTTAGAAAAACAGTCTGGTTCAGAACTTTCGGGGGCTTGCATGTCTCAGTTGTGTTCCTTCCAATCTAGTCACATTGGTAAACAATGGATTCACCTATTGAGAAAGTGAACTAACATCTAATGGAAGCACCCGACGTTCTTCCACGTTCAGGTCTCTCACGCAGTTTTTGAAATCAAATGTGTCTTCGAGGATTTCATTTGGTGCTCAGGTGCTAATTGGGAAATTTCCTACAGGCTGGTGTGTTGAATTTTCATGGAGTATTGTGCAGCCATCACCGGGCATGCTTAAGAATGAATATGAATGTGTTATTGCAGTCAAATGTTTGTTACTCTATAGTCTGTCCAACACTGTGTTCCTTGACGAGGAATAGATAATTGATTCAACGAATACCCATCAACAAATGGACAGCTCAGCGATCGACTAAATAAATGAAGTATTCTTCAATGAACTCGGAACTCAATCAATCAATTATCCAGGGGTGACATTCTAATGAGTGAACAAGACTGAAATGCCTGCATGGGCCCTGTGGACGACCATAAACAACGTTTACTGGAAAAATTTGGTCTCACTGAGTAATGGGAAAATGGCGACCGTCTAGTTACTTTTGCAGATCTCAAACGGTCGGTACATTCAAAGTAGCATTTGATGATATGGCATCCGAACGGCAGCAGGGTAAGCCACCAGATGGACTTCATATTGATAGGATCTCGCTGGACCTCTCCAGTTGAGAAAGTCGGGCGTACAGTGATGGCAAAATCGGGTACACTAATGGTATTGGCTACACACTCATACGTGTCCGTCTCAAGATCCGTCTCCTAGCCCAAGATAGACTAGTCACCGAGGCCAAACCAATATCTTCTTGTCGGCAATTACTGACATAGCTCAAGCTACAACAAATGCTATCGACCGCAGGCTGGACAGTAACCCTACTGCTGGTAGTATATATGCATGACATATTGCGCTGAAATTATCCATAACAGGTGCTGCGTTTGAACAATTGAGCAAGGTATTCCCGCCTTAAAAGTAGTGGGTCTCCGCAGGAACTCTCAGCCGTTGCTCAATGGCTAGAAAGTCGAGATAGCATGATTCACTCAATTCGCACAGCATTTGCCGAGCAGATGTGGTGTCTGCAAAGAATAGCTGTTAACAGTGCTGGTCGTAATTAACGGATATGATAGAAATCGTAGACATTTTTGCGGATTCACGAATCACTTCCAACTCATACACTTTGTTTTGGGAAAAAGATACCATCACGTTCTTTGATGTGGGACGACAACAGGTTGCCATTCGCGCCTTTTCTCTCAAACACTCGTGGAACCTGCCGACGAGAATGAGTGATACGAGAAGCTGGAAAGTATCGATCATTGGTGCTTTCTGCACGCAGTCAAATAAAATGGCATATTCGAGTCTCAAATTCCACTTTACAGAAAAGCTGCTCAAGTGTTCAAGTGCTGTCTTCTTTTCTTCAGCTGTGCCGTTTCCAATGTTCCCAGGCTAACCGAGAGAAACCTTCTAACGGCACATTGTCCAAGTTTGAAATATCACCTTGACTGCCAACTGAAGACATCTGTCAACATAATCAAAAATAACTTGAGACTTCCTAGCCTTCAGTCAGCATTCGGAATCTTTTTTCAGCACAAGAACTGGATTTCCCTTCGAACCAATCTTGCCTCCGACGGCGACGCGTGAAAAACCCGTCCTCACAGATATTCGAGAATCCTAATAGTCCTCTCACCGCATTTTATTGTAAAAAAGTGAAATATAGTAGTATTAGATTACAAGCTTGGTTTGCTCATTTATTAGTCGATCCGTTCAATCGATTGAGTAATCGAATGCGAAGGTAGATGAGAGAATGAGAGATAGATTGGTTACTTTTCTACATGATTGCTTCCTAGTAGACATTTATTTGCTGCCAGTTTCGAGATTTGTTAACAGGTTGTCGTTTGGCTATTGTTTTGTGCAGTAAGAAGCTCTATGCATGTGGGTCAATATCTCATATTATTTGTGTGTGCGTGTTGCTTGTGTCTCCTCTGTGTGTTCTGTTCATAACAGTGTGTCTTGAGGAGGAAATCAGATTTGATAAAACGATCACCCACCAGCATATGAACAGCTCAAAATTTGACTAACTCGATGATTGACTGAATGAATGAATGAATGACAGGCTGACTAACCTACGGACTGGCTGACCAATTGATTGGCTGATTGACTAACTTACGGACTGACTGAATCATTGACGGGCTGAATGACTAAGTATTCAAACGAGAGAAGAACGAATGAATGTGTTTTTCAACTAAAATCAGAAAGGCCCATTCTACTCTCAACAAACTGAAACGACATTCATTGATTGGTTGCAATCGACAATTTCCAACTTGATCGATCGTTCATTAAATTTCTTGCAATAGATTCTACACGTGTTTGTTAAACTGACTTGCTCTAATCGTGCACATGCAATTATTTTCTCCCATTTGAACAATGCCAGTGACGCGGCAAGAAGTGAGCACTCCGAAACCAGGTGAGTTCGAATTATTCGATCCATACGAGTAACGTACTATTCACGGTTGTCATTCTCAGGGATATTTATGTCTCATTGGAAATTGGTCTCCTAAGGAACGAACATTTTTCGCATTTGACGAAAGTCATTATAACCTCAAAATCCTAGACCACGTAGATGTATATCTGAATGTCTGAATAATTGAATCGATGAATGTACATTGCTTTGAATGATGGACTGTTGAAACGAACCATTAGTTGACTTATAGTTTGATCGAATGAATGAATGATTGACTGATTGATTGGTTGGTTGATTGAATGGTTGATCGAATGGTTAACTGCATAATTGATTGGTTGATTGATTAATTGATTGATTGGTTGATTGATTGATGTGTTGGTTGATTGATTGATTGATTGATTGATTGATTGATTGATTGATTGATTGATTGATTGATTGATTGATTGATTGATTGATTGATTGATCGGTTGATTGTTCGATGCGTCGAAATAAAGGACGATTGGTGAAATGCATGATCGGATTTGTCCGTGAATGGTTCGTCGAGAGGATTTTTGTTCACTAATGAGATAGTGTGCGCCCATATTTAGTTTCCATCTTCCCATGTAATCTGCTTCACAGGGCGAGTTTTGTGCACATAATTTCGTCTTGTTTTTGTTCATTCAATATGCAATAATCTGATGGTTTGTCTGTGTATTTGTGTTTTGTTTGGATGTGTGTATGTTGAGTGTGTCCTCTCTGTGTTTTGTGCGATTTGTTCAAGTGGCTTGCCCTTATTGTGAAAATGCTATTGTTTTCTGTATTTGAACAACGATAATGAAAGTTCAAGTAGTGAGTTCTCCACCCCCAGGTGAGTTCGAATCAGTCTCTTTCCATCCAGGCGTTTCATGCTTCTCACAGTTTTCTCCGCTATGGAGCCTATTATGCTTCTTTTGATAATTTCCCTCTCCCGTTTCTTGCGGAATCTGCAGTTTTCCCCAATTTCTTCCGGTACTATCACTGTTTTCATCAATCCAGTGCAAGCGAAATTTGTGCCTGGAATTGTTTTATTGTTTGTTGATTGATTGTGTCTCTGACAGAAAAGTTGTCAAAATTTATTCGCCTCTCCCCTTTACTGGTTTTTTGTGCATTGTGTACAATCTGAATGAATGGGTTCTTTATGTGGAAAATCGTGAGAGAATGCATCAATCCTTTTCCCGCGGAGTATACATTGGTCTTTAATTGGAAGTGATTTTTTTCGTGGGGTATTTTTTGCACTGATCCCCTGACAGTATATGATGAGCATGTATTCTGATTTACAATTTTAGTGCTTGATGTTTTTTACTTATAACAGTGTGTCTCGAGGAGGAAATCAGATTTTATAAAGCGATTACCCACCAGCATATGAACAGCTCAAAATTTGACTAACTAAATCACTGACTGAATGACTGACTGATTGACTGATAGACTGATTGACTGATTGTCAAATAATAGAAGATCGTTTTTCAGCTAAAACCAGAAAGGCCCATTCTACTCTCAACAAACTGAAACGGCATTCATTGATTGGTTGCAATCGACAATTTCCAACTTGATCGATCGATCATTATATTTCTTGCAATAGATTCTACACGTGTTTGTTCAACTGACTGGCTCTAATCGTACACATGCAATTTCTCCCTCCCATTTGAACAATGTCAGTGACACGGCAAGAGGTGACAACCCCAAATTCTTGTATGTTTGCGTAATTGATTCCCTTTAGATCAATTTAATCCTGCATCTTCTGCCACTAGCTGTAGATTTTTTTAGTAAAACCTATTCAAATAACGGATCTAATGTGTTGTCTATGTTTAGAAAATAGATTTTGTCCGACTCCTCTTGGCGGTTTCTTTTTACATTGCCATTGATTTCTATCGTCTCCGTAGGACCCTTTTTCCAGCTTGTGTTAAACTTTTCACCAGTTTTGATTGTTAAGTCTGAATGACGGTCTATGAAGCAGCTAATTCGTTGCCATCTTGATGATGAACCAACTGTTCGGATGCATTTTTTAGTCTGATTTCGAACAAATTATTTGGTATTTTCTATTCATTAGCTGAATAAAAACTTGCTTATTTACGCAATAAATTTACGTGACTTAGTTCATTATTTTTGAATGGTTTACCTGGGGCCTACACCTCTACATTCGGAAAATCTCTTACCAGCTCACTGACCATGTATCATTTGCCAGACCACAAAAAACTATTTTATCTCAATAAACCCAAACATTCGGGTTTCATCGATTGAAATAACCTTGGTATTTTTCATTCGGTTGTAATTGTTTATGATTCGCGCAATTTCATAAGATATCCGTGACATTTTTTACAGTAACTTTGGGTGTTCTTTTTTGTGTATTTATTTCGTTACTTTCACTAATGACAGTACTAGTTTCGAGGAGGACGTCTTCACGTGAGTTCCGCTATTTCCTCTCTCACCAGCTATCCTCCTTGGGTTTTATTTAGTGATAATTCACTCTATCCCACTCTCAATTTGTGTCTTACAGTTTTCCCTCCATTGATTTTACAGCTGTGTGTTCGTTTGTATACTGTTGACTAGAATCTCTTCTCGTTTTTGTCTTTTCTTATCCTCGTCTACAAGCATTTTTTCGCAGTATCGACTCAAATTTTATAGTTCTCATTTTCTATGTTACCAGGGGCTCATGTTTCCGCTACCAGAGGGAGTGAGTTCATATACTCAAACAAGACACTTGCCTTGACTGTTTTCAATTTCCTCGTATCTTGGCTTGTCTTTTCTTGGTCAACCAAATTCACATTTCCCTCCTATGATATTCGTTTTTTTCTCTTCACACTGAGCTGACTGTGATTTGATATATTTTTGGCTTAGTCTTTTTGACAACCTCAGAAATATGACTGTCAATGGGACTTTTTGCCAAAATGCGATAGAAATCAACCCTGCTGCCTTGACTTACGAAAAGATTGATGGACTTTGCAGTGTAGTTTATGGGTGTACCAATGCAAACCTAACTGCCTAACTGTGTTTAGTGCGCTGTGAGATAATTTTAAAACCTGAACTTGCGTTCTATCCATCAAGGTGGCAACAGCCTAACTGATAAAAACATTTTGAATGAGCCCTGATTTTAACAGGGTCGTTTCATTCGAGCATAATTCTTTGAAGATACTTCATGAATATATGTCCCTCGAATCACAATATTCACTTACAGTTGTGATTCATTTTGCTAAATCCCACCTTACCGTTCTTCCACATTTTAGTAGTCTACATCCCCTTGAGGGTTTTCGTTGAACAGACCTTTACTACCTCATCCTGGGAAGATACGTTTCTAATTAATTTCTATTATTTTCCCTACACATTTGTTTCCAGGTTCCGTCGAACAATTGACATCAATTTATGGAACTGCTCAGTTAATTTCGTCGATTGTCATTTTTGTAGTTTACTAACCCTACCATAGACAAGGTTTAATTGAATTACTGTGATTTCCCTTACCGCGGATGACAAACTTGTGGTTATTTTCTTGGTTCAGAAAAAAATCGATTGTCTCCTTTCAGCATATTTTGTCCGTTTGGTCTTATAAAAATTTGCTCCGAAATAATTCACTTGTGATCTTCGTAGTTTTATTTGCAAAAGCCGATACCTTCGACAAATTATCTTCCAAGTGGGTTTTTTTATCCGCAAATGGGTTACTGAATAGTTATTGGTTGTTTTCTCCTGTTTCTAGCGTTTCCCATATGAAGACAATGGAAAAAAAGATGGCCTTATTTTCCGTAGCAAAATATTCCACACATGGTAAAGGTATAATCCGTATCAAGATGAACGGGAATAGTATGCCCAGCTGAACAGATAAAATTTACTCCAAGTGGTCCCGTTTTTCATTGTAGATAAAATCTAATTTTGCCACCGTCTAATCCCGCTTAGAAGATTCCCCTTCGCATGGGGTCACATGAAATATGAATATCTTGGGTAACTTTACATATCTCAAGGCTAGCTGTTTCACTTATTGTTACCGGGAGATGAAAGGTAAACAAAGAGTTGGTCATTGGATATGTCAGACTACGTCAGCGAGGTGAAATCCGTCGCACCGCTATTCGCGTAAAATTTATTGGACTGACGCACACAATTACTTTATTTTCCAAGGCGAAACTTGTTTGGATAATGAGTTTTTGGCAGCCCAATGTACTGCGTCGTCTATCAAAAAACTAATAACCATGGATATCTGAAGTCTTTCGCTGTTCTCCGTCAGACCTCCGAGGTCATGGACACCCAAAAAGCATGTACTACTTTAGTCTCCTAAAAACACGGCTATGATGGTGCTAGAGATCCTCAAATGATAAGACGCAATTAGTCATGCTTTCCCCTCATAAGAACGTCGACGGGAAGATGGAGCATATAATGGTTTGCAATCATTTGACACATATATCCATGCACATTGGAACTGTTTTGTCAAACAAACAACTCATATCCCCAGCCGGATGCTGATACAGCCTGTCATAACGTTGTCTGGTGATCCTTGCAATAAAAGCAAAGACAAGGTCCGCCTGCACTCGGTAAATTCACCTGTGGATATCCTTTGGGGGAAATTGGATTCCCAATTATACTAAGTTAACAAACTTTATGCGCCGACGATAATATCACTTCAATGAATGATTCATAACTGGACAGGGTGTACACTGATGAGAAGCACAACCCGTGGGTTTCCTACTTCCATTGTGGCAAATTTTATTTCCCAATCGATCACACAAAAAAGAAGACGCATTCCGACGGTCATTTCAGTGGTTCCTCTTGAAACGGGCTAACTTTTTTTCATTAGCCCGAAACACCCAAATCAGCCAGTGCATTCGATTGCAAACCAGCTAGATCTGCGAAAATGTGAACACAGCTTGGTTAAAGACCCATGATGATGTGTCGGACGGATTACACTTGGCCTGATTCGTGGCGACTGATGAGAACATTTCAGCGGTAAAACTGGAAGCGACAAAAGTTATGGTCTCACTAAATTTCATGACGTCCTCTGGATTCATCTTTCGGTCGTGAAGTTGCCTTGTCCCTGAGGCAGCGATAATATCTGCACTAACAGTTTTCGGTAAATAGTGAGCCGAACTACAAAAGATACCCCTTGAAAAAATGTCAAACGTTCTCATTACCAGACCCGTTTTCGAAAGCTTAAACGAGAAACACTCTCGATTAACCGAGAAACCGTTAGACGGTGACTGAAGCATTGGCAGACGAAACTTCATTTTCTCCGAATTTCTCAGATGCCAGTAGGAAGTAACGTACCCAGAAAACGAAGGATCGTAACCGTGGTCTATTCCTAATTGTAGATAAGATAAGGACCGCACTGAATTCATAACACTCCCGCAAACCTTGTTAGACGCTCTGAATTTATTACCTCGCCGGATATGGAAGACAATGGTTATTCTTTAGGATTAGAAAATACTACTCCTGCAACATGTTTTTAAGAAAAAAGACAGAACGATAATCATCGGAAGGATATCGGCTCCATCGGTATGTCTGTTAGGTTTTTCACTAACATTTGAAGGTGACTTCACTTGATTCGTTTGACGTGAATAATTCAGTTCAAGTCAAAAATTCACCCGATGCGGCATGTAGCCGACGACGAAAACAGGATTTTCACGTAACCAACTTATTTATACAAATACGGTTCATTCCACTTAAACTTCGTTGAGTTGAGTGCCCATCGATTTCAAAGTCATGCTTGCGATGGAATTCTGTCATCCAAAAGCTTTCCAGACCCTTATGACGACTACGCAGTTCTCTTGTTGTTCAAGTGCTGCTCATCCTGTGTGTTTTGCCGTACTTGTACTGCTTATAGGAATGCCATAAGTTTTATCCTGAAGAACCGATATATTTCATTGCCGGTTCAAAAAAATTCTGATTTCATTTCGCGCGACTCGGTCGCTACAATTTTCCTAAAATCTTGATGCCGCACAGGACGGATAAACCAACAGCAATGGTTTTAGATTTCGCCGAAAGGGATTCTAAGTCAAAAACATGTTCTCGCTGTAACGATATCTCAAAAGTAGTTCCAGTTTCTTGTAATCAAACAGTGCCTGCTTAGGCTACCTTTGTATCTCTTTACAAAGAGTCCTTTTGGGGCGTTCCACATGTTAGACGATGACAGAAAGTCGGTATTATTCAGCTAGATGAGAGCATTTTGCTTTCTGTCGAGAAGAGTCCTCTTGATTTTCGCTAGAATCCTATGACTTACAGGGTCGCTGAGTTCTTCTAAAACCAATGGACCGGGTGAAATGGTAATTCGAAGTTCAAGGTGGTTACACAAGGAGAGCTTTCCTGCGTCGACAAAAACCACTTTGGTCTAGCAGTTAAATAAGGCATCTTAAAAACTGTTCATTTACGTGATTATTATTCGCCCCGTCACTCACTTGCACTTGTGAAACCTGGGTGCAGGGGGTAGAAGATAATAGAATGCTGGAGTGATTCAGCCACCAGTAAATTTGACTTACGGCAAAAAACAAATAGTGTGGCCTAATCCCAGAGTTCACAGACAGAAGATGCTGCTCGAATATAGAAATAAACTGCTCATTTCTCCAGAAGCTCCTTTTCTCTTGGTTCATTCAGGCCCTCTGTCTGCCCGACCCAAAACCCCTTCAAGAGACACTATCCAGGTTGATGTACCGTCGCGCTGCTCAGCTAAAGGATTTGGTTAACAAAATAAAACCCGGCTTTTACCATTCAGGTCTTCGACTAGTTACACGAATGAGTCTAGGGCAAAATCACGCTTTTCCATCATGCTCCCACCTTACCGTAGACGGCAACACATTGAGAGCTACCATTAGAGATATCCAATGTGTCGAGTTATTCTCACTCAGGAGGTAGACTTTTAAGCGTTTTCCGACCTAGCTCACTTACACTAGCTCAAGTCTATCGAAGTGCACTGCACTCACATGACCTGTGAGTGGTGGCCATGCACGCCTTCCATAAAACTAGACGAGCAGATTGAATTGGAGGCTTGTTTTGAGAACCGGGTGAATGAAACCAAAGTTCTATCATCAAAGTCAGAAAAGACCCTGAAAGATATTAAAGCCTGATTTTGACAGCCTTCCACGAACACCGCGAGATTGATTTCCAAACCCTTGTCTGTTAACCCGCCCACACTCAACTGCCCTGAAGGGACCAAGAAAAATGAAATTTATACTGATGCTCAAAGCCAATAGGAGATATGGTGTCGTCGTTATGGACAATAAAAATTGTTTCGGAAAACTTTTGAAATTATTATTGACTCAACTTAATTTTCTACACGGTAAACAGGCGAAAGTGAAACCCAAGAGCTAGAAAACAGTCTAGGTGTATGTTCAAAAATATTAAAAGGTCCTGGCTATGTAAACAAAACTGCTTACGAAAGAATGAAACCAGGCGGTTTGATTATTCCATTGTGTACGGACTTCCCGAAATCTACAAGGGTGTCATATTCTACCAATTCCTCACATAACCGATTCATCAAAAGCTCAGTGACTATTAGAATTATTAGAACCAGCTAGCGTAGAACTTACCACGTTCAAATTACCAGGTAGTGTTGAAGTTTTGTCCATCATCCAAGGTTTTGAACTTTCAGAAGGCCATGCTCTCGTTACACTTTGCATCACCGTTTGCGAAAGTGGGGTACTTTGAAACCGTGTATTTGATTTTTGTACAAGTAAGTATTTTTCACCTAAAAACAGGCATCCCGACAGGAAATCTGAAGGAATTATTGGTACTCTGCAAGTTCAAAATTCCGCTCCTGTTTAAAGGGGGTTTCTACCGACAAAGAGACGGCATCACCGTGGGTTCCCCGTTGGGCTCATGGCCAGCGGACATTTTCACGGTCCAGCTTTATAATAAAAGGACAAAAATGAACCACAGAACATTTTACTCATTACAGCCATAGAATGAATGATTTAAAAATGCTACTGGACCAGGGGTGTTACGAATATAACGGGCTAGGAAAGATTAGCAATGCCAACTACTATTCCGCCATGGGATGTAATTAGGAACCGAGGAATTATTTGCATCCCTCGATGTGCAAATTACCAGAATAGAAAACGGATCTGCATTGGGCCTAAAGGAAAAGAACATGGAAAAACTTCTACAGACTAGTACCACTATCACATATGCGAAATTTAGTTCGATGACTGGTAATCAGTGTCCAAAAAGTTCGCTCAATAGAGACTTTGCAAGATGAACTTCGTTTCGTTCTCCAAGCTTTCTGGGAGAATAGTTACCCAAAAAAATGTTCTCAAAGAGAACAGAACCGACATTGCCTGTGGAGTAGTCCCCCTAATTACCATAGAAAGACCTTTCCCTGAAAGTGTCGTTCAAGCGGAATACGCACTCAAAACGGTTGACAAGTACACTAGCAGCGGTTGTGAGCTAAATTGTACCAGCCTCAAGACTAAAATTTTACTCTGTGCACCTTTCCGTTGAA